AGGATCGACTTCAAGATCCTCACCCGTGTATTCAAATCCCTCCACTCCTCTGCACCTCTCTACCTCTCTGACCTCCTCTCTCCTCAAAACAGTACCCGTTGCCTTCGCTCCACCAGGTCTGGCCTCCTCCTTGTCCCCCGAGTCCTCCACTCCACCCTCAGCGGCCGTGCCTTCAGCCACTGTGCCCCAAGGCTCTGGAACTCCCTTCCTCACTCCCTTTGCCTCGCCCCCTCTCTTCCCATTTTCAGGTCTCTGCTGAAGACCTTTCTCTTCGACTGCACCTTTGGTCACCTTCCCCCACTTCCCCCTGGCTCGGCGCCGGGATCCTTTATTGTAAAGCGCTCTGAGACGCCGTCTGGCGTGGAGGGGCACTATATAAATCAAAGTTGTTGTTGTTGTTGGGTTACACTTGTTTGGTAAGACAAGAATTTTAGACTTTGCTAAATCACCACTGGTGCCAATTTTTGACTTAATTAGATACATTATCATCCTACATAATATACTCCTTGCCTTCGAGCATCCAATTGTAAATAATACATGCATACTGCTCTCAGCCAATTTCCTTCCTCATCTTGGTGCCAACAAAAACATGGTCCAACCCGGACTAACACACACGGAAAAAAAATGAGTCTCCAAACCCAACCAACAAAAACTTGCAACCCCTCACCCCTCGACACTGCAAGTCCCAGACAGTGCAGAGCACGACAGCAAGTCTTTATGGTCGTCCAGCCAAATACATTTTTCTTCCCAGAGTCTGAAGGTTTTGCATTCGAACCCCACATCAGGACTGAGCTCAGGATCTAGGCCAGCGATTAGTGGCCAAACTTTTTGCGGTCGGCCAACCAGATAATTTTTTCTTTATTGAAGTTTTCTCCATCTAGGCTGCGCCATGGATATTGTGGCTCGGGAGCTACTGGATTCAAGCTATTGATTTGGCATGGACCTGCCCTCACTGAGGCGGGTGTTCAGTGGGCCACTTCTAGATAATAATAATAATTCTTGCACTTGATATGGCGCCTTACTAGATGCCACTGGTTGGTGACCACTGTCCTAATGGGTAAGGTGGTCCTAACTAGAAAGTAGTGGGAAAGCTTGCCAGACAGTGCTATCAATAGCAAGCTGTGTTACTATGTACTGCTGGTTAGACTCCAGCAGTATACCAATGTACACGTTGGGGTTTCCCAAGCCTTGGGTCTTGCCAACCTGTGTCTAGTACTTTCTGGAATAAAGTAAGCAGGATGCATCACTCCAGGGACAGAGTGCGCATTCTATTCCAATACACAGGGATTTCCAAGCGTAGGTGGGATGCATGGAATTGCAAGCATGGTGATGGGTTTTCGCACGTGTCAGACACACGGGTGGTCCAAAAAAAAATGAACAGGCAGGCGGGTCAATGTCTCGTCCAAATTTTAATTTATCTGGTACGGAGCCCGTGCTCTCCATCCTGACCCTTAAATCCTGGAGAGTTTAGTTAAAAAGCTTGACAAAGGAAGATCAGAATCGAACCATTCCTCTGTGACAGGATGGCTCATCGGCAGGACTTTTAGGGGCAGATCAGTCACTGGGGGCAAGGAGTCATCAGGTGCAGGTTGGCTGGAGCCTGTGCTTGGGGGAGTGTGTGCAGAGTGAGATGCGGTGGGCTGGGGGGTAGGGAAGCAAAGGATATTGTGAACGCAGAAGGCAAAAGCTCACAGACACCCCTCTTAATGGGAAACCAATTGAGAAAGGAACCTGGAACACGAGCGATACAACTACTGAGTCAGGCTCAGACTTGTTTGGCTTCATCCCTTTTGCAAACATGAGCATTCTTGCCTACAGCCCTCACCAACCTATTAAATAAACTTACACTTCAGCATATTTCCTCTTTGTCTGCCCGTTTCTGCCAGTATTGTGTCCCAGCCAACAATCTGCCAAATAATTAATCATCAACTCCATGGCCCTTTTGTTAGTCATTGCTGTGCGCACAGTTCGCCTGTCCAGCTAGGAGCACCCTACCCACTTGGCCTTTGGCTTGCAGGGTTAACAGGAGCGTTTCTTGTTCTGACTTGTGAAGTATTTAAGTGTGAGGGTGATGTTCTGGATATAGCTAATGAGGGAACTGCGACCTGGGAGAGAGGGGGCTGAGGTATTGATTGACCTGTTCTCGACATAAGCCAGCGAAAACCAAACACCTTACAAACTCCCAATGCGAATTTAAAAAAATCTAATCCTTACATTTGTCATAGTGTCTTTCACATCAGGAAGACGTCTCAAAGCTCTTCACAGGATTGACTGTAAAGTACAGTGAGTGTGTATTCTATCCAGCCGGACATCTCAGGAACATATAACCGGGAAAGGGTTGCCAACTCCGAGGTGCAAACAAAAAAATGGCCACTGACTGATAAAGCGCCCCCTCATCGAGTATGCCACGGCCATTCCCACAAAGTTCACTGGGTGCCTCCGTCATCATGTGACACCTCTGGATTTTGTGGGCGAAATGTGGCAGCCAGTTGCACACAGCAGTGTCCCACAAACAGTTAATAATAATAATAATAATAATCCTTGCATTTGATATAGCGCTTTTCACGTCGGGAGGACATCCCAAAGCGCTTCACAGAACACACTGTAAAGTGAATTGACTGTGTATTTGTGGGCGAACGCGGCAGCCAATTGTGCACAGCAGTGTCCCACAAACAGTCGTGGATTGAAAATGACCAATTTATTATTGTTTTTGGAGGGATTATTATTAGGCGTGTGGAGTAAGGAAACTTGCCCAAGGTTTCGCCCTGTCTGGAATTGAACTCAGGTCTTTCGCTTGCAAAGCGAGTGCTCTAACCACTGAGCTACAGGACTCTGTGGATTGAGTGTCCACATTTCTTTTTAGAAGGGATTATTACCCCAGAAAGCGATCCACCAATCGACAAACAACTGGGTTCCTACTTACTGCTGGATAAACAGCAGGGCTTGGTGCCCAAAATGAAGCACCTCACTCGATTGAGACTTTTGGTCACATTGAAGTTGTTGTGATCAAAAGGTTCGATCAACCAAGTGTCACAGTGAACGTCACAGTGGCATGAATGTTGGTGGGAGTCAGGTAATAACAATAACAATGATAATGATAACAGTAGTAATCCTTGCATTTGATGTAGCACCTTTTCACATGTTGAGACATCTCAAAGTGCTTCACAGAATACAATGCAAAGTAAATTGATTGTGTATTTTGTGGGTGACAGGTCTCAACATAAATACCTTTACAGTCAAAGAAGATTCCCTAAATAGGCTCTATACAAGGGCTCTTTGTTCTTTCACTGTATATGTATAATTATATAGGGGGACATGGGGCGGTGGGAGAAAGGAAATTTTGAACATTCACTTTCTCGTCATCTGAAGACCTTTCCCAAACCACAAACACGTATTGCTGTATTCACTCCCGGCTTCAAGTACCCCCGGCTCCCGCTGCTGGCTCTCTCTTCCTCATTCTCTCTCTCTCTCTCGCTCAATGAGCAAGGCAGGAAAAACAAAGATAACCTGCCAAGTGATGACTCTAGACTTGTCACCCCTGGGCTTTAATCGCTCTGGTGTGCTATGCCGTGCTGGTTGAAGGGCGCTATGAAAATGCAAGCGGCTTATGTTGTGGTGGTGGTTGTTGTTGTAGAGTCCAACAATCTTCCTGCTAAATTTGTCATTCAGCCATTCAGCGTGTCACTTGGAGCAGTGGTATCACTCTCGCCTCTGAGTCAGGGTTCAAGCCCCACATCAGGACTAGAATCACATAGTCTAAACTGATTCTCCAGTGTTGTGCTGGATCGGGGGGGGGGCTTGCATTGTTGGGGGTTCCGATGGGATGTTAAACCGAGGTCCCATCTGCCTGTTCACCCCCAAAATTCAGTCACACCACTTTATACACTACTTTCGCCCACAAAATATGCAATCAATTCACTATACAGTATATTCTATGAAGCGCTTTGAGATGTCTCAACAACCTGATAAGGCACTATATCAAATGCAAGGACAGAAATTACAAAGGACAAATTATTATTATTTATTTATACTTGGAGATGTCTTGACAACATGAAAAGGAGCTATAATCAGGTTATTGTTAGGTGGATATTAAAGATTGCATCACATTATTCGAAAAGAGAAGGGAGTTTCTCTCTTCCAGTATTTTGGCCGACAATTCCCCCAAATAAAATTAGTATTCACTTTATGGCTGTTTGTGGGATGCTACTGTGTGCATATTAGCTGCTGCAATCACCTATAATACACAATATTCGGCTTAAACTCTGCCTGAACAGGCAGACGGGATCTTGGCTTGGTTAGCTGCTCTTTAAAATCAGATTACTCACATACAGACGCGGAGAGAGAGAGATTGTTTGTGTACGTATACACACACATACCGATATACACAGACATGTACAGATGCAATCACATAGACACATACAGAGTCACGCACATATTCACACACATGGTCACACACAGACACAATCTCACACACACAGTTATATATACACACACACACACACAGTCTCTCCCCCACCCCCCCCCCCCCCGCCCACCAATAACTGATTCTTTTCATGGAACTACAGAACATCACACACACAAACAGATTTCTCAGATCAGCAAATCTGTGTGGCATTTTTGTCCTCCAGAGCCATCTGCTTTAATCCTGCTCTCTTTCCATCACTGTCTCTCCCTCTCTCCCTGTCACTCTTCATTGTTCCCCTCACACCCTCTTATTTCCAGCCAAATTCCCTTCAGAAGGGAGACTTTCCAAATTCCACCCTCTGTAAAGAAATTGTCTCACACTCTCTCTCCCCTATGATCCCGTCTCAACAACAAATAACATTTATACAGTGCCCTTCACATCAGGAGGACGTCCCAAGGCGCTGGACAGTCAGAGATTTGGACCTGAGCTGGGGTGGAGGGTGGAGGGCAGGGGTAGGAGGGTGATCGAAGGCGCTTGCCTTGAAACAGAGTCTTGGACTTTCCCATGGCTGGCTTTAGCCAGACTGGATACTTACATAGGGTCTCTTCCATTTGACCACCTGCACGTCAGACAACCTAATGGAGTTCAAATCTGCTGGGAATGTCTCATCCTGGAAGTTGTTGTGAATACACTGCTCCCGTAGGGAGTAGTAGTCTTGATCCCTGAACTTCCTGGGATTCACGAGGGACCCGACTTTTTCACCATCAAACGATGCTCCTGATTCTTTCCTCTCCATCCTCTGCTCCCTCCTCTCTTCACTCCTAGAGAAAAGCATATTGATTATCCTTAGTCCTTCTGGTTCTTTAGCCAATTATCTTAAATCTGTATCCTCTGGTTACCCACCCACCAGTGGAAAGTTTCTCCTTGTATATTTTTTTAAAATCCCTCATAATTTTGAACACCTATTAAATCTCTTCTCGATCTTCTGTGCTCTAAGGAGAACATTCCCAGCCTCTCTAGTCTCTGCACATAATTCAAGTCCCTCATTCTGGTAAATCCCTAATTTATTATTAGCCACCCGCTTGGATACAAGGAGACTTGTGGGGTAGTTTGATCTCTGGGAGGTAATTGAGGCAGAGATTAAAATCAATAGTGAAATAAACACTTTTAGGGAATGTTGCCTGCTCTCTCACGCGACTCCAGACACCAGTTTTGTGGCAGCTACGTACATGGTCAGCCTCACAACCGTCAATCTGTTTTCTAAGGGAAAGTTAAGAATTGTGGAACCTTTATAAGTTGGCCTTCCAAAAAGCTTCAGGCATGTAATTTATACACAAACACACCCACGCACTAGACCTTTAAAACCAATGACACATCCCTTCTTGCATAATATCTGCTTCCGTCAGTCACTTGATCGTTTTTTTAAGTTTACTTTAAATTTATTGGTGAAAAAATTATTTTATCTGAGCTTACCCATCAAAGAAGGATCATTATCATCCTTGAATTCTGTAGCGCCCTGAAGCAGTCCCGTAGCCTATTGGTTTGCACGCTCACCTCGCAAGTGAGAAGACCTCAGTTTGATTCCCGACAGGGCGAAACCACAGTCAAGTTTCTAAAGAAACTCCAGATCCCTCTGTTTACCAAGCAGTAAGTAAGAACCCAATTGTTTGTCGATTGGTTTCCGGGGATAATAATCCGTCCCCCAAAAATATGGTCACTCTATTCACCACTGTTTGTGCGACATTGCTTTGTGTAATTGGCCGCCGTGTTTTGCCCACAAAATCCAGTCAGCGTGGCTCAGTTGGTAGCACTCTCACCTCTGAGTCAGAAGGTTCTGCGATATATCAAGTGCAAGGATTATTATTATTGTTACTGGCTATCTTATATTGATACCTTCATGTTTTGGACTCACCAACAAGTGGAAATGGCTTATCAACATCCATCTTATCCAATCCTTTCATCATCTTAAACATCTCGATCAGGTCCTCTCTGAATGTGTCAACTCATGTCCATTTTTCCAACAACTTGCATTCATGTGACCAAAGGCACTGTCAGTAACTGTTGCAACAGAGCAAGGTGGAACAAGGCAGGTTTGTGTTAGCCAAGTGAAGGGCGCAGAATAATGGGGTATGAGCATGTCCAAGATGCAATAAAAGGTATTTTTAGACGAGAGTGAGGATGTTGAAATTGCTAGTTTTGGCTACAGGGAGTCAGTGGAGCCTGGCGAGGATCGATTGATGGGTGTGCGGAGTTTGGTACAGGTGAGGATGTGGATGTCGGAGGTTTGGTCTGCCAACCTGCACGCTCGGCGGGCACTGGCCTATTCCATATCCCCCCCGCCCGCTCCATCATCAGCAGTTGGGCCTTCAACCGTTCTGCCCACACCTCTGAAATTCCATCCCAGAATCCCTTCACCTTGTCCCTCCCTTCCTTCCTTGCCTCCTTCAAGCCATCACAATAAATTGGCGAGGAGTTGGATTACCCGCCTCAGTCCGTACCTCACAACCAAGGCAGCCAAAACCCTCGTCAACAATGCCTTCGTACTTCCCGGCTGGACTACTCCAATGCCCTCCTCGCTGCTCTTCCCAGCTCCACCATACACAATATTCAATTAATTCAGAACTCCGCCACCCGGATACTCATCTGCACAAAGCTCCATACCCCCATCACACCAGTCCTTGTCAGGCTCCACTGGCTCCCAATTACCGAACGGATCGATTTCAAGATCCTCTCACTTGTTTTCAAATCCCTTCATGCCCTCGCACCTCCCTACTTATCCGACCTGCTTACCCCTACTCCACTACCCACTGCCTCCATCAAGCTGGCTCCAGCATCCTGTTTGTCTCTTGTCCCCTCCGTTCCACCATCAGTGGCCGTGCCTTTAGCCACTACGCCCCCAAACTCTCTCCCTCAATGCCTCCGCCTTGGTCCCTCGCTTCCCACTTTCAAATCCCACGTAAGGACCATAATTTTTGATTGTGCTTACGGTCACCTCCCCCCTCCCTCTGGTTCAGTGACAGACTCCGCCACTGTCAAGCGGTCTGGGACGGTATCCTGCACGAAGTATTGGGAGGCAAGAATTGTTCCAGGACTTTTGACAGGGTGAGGAGGTTGGAGGTGGAATTTTGGAGGGATCAAAGCAGTCTTTTTGAGGAGCGGAATTAATGACTGTGGTTTAGAAGGGGAGGCAGTGTTAGAGCAGAGGGCCAGGATGGCTGTATCCGCTAGTAGGATGCAGTGGTGGGGCAGTTTTGTGGACAGCAGCTAATTGGCAGGTGGAAGGAGGGGGTTGAGAGTGGCTAGTAGGTTTCATTTAGATTATGACAAGGTAAAAATGAGGGCAGGATGTGTAGGGTAGGGCCAGTGGTAGGGACAGGAGTGGAAGACACTGGGGGAAGAGGATGCATCCAAGCTGATTTATCTTGGTCATGAGTAAGTACACAACTTCCTCAACTTTGGCATCCCGAGCAGGCTTGAGAGGGTAGGGGGATGGAGGAGGTGATTTATGATGGAAGAGATTGGGGACCGCAAAGTTAATAAAAGGAATAAAAAATGATTTGGGCTTTGGAGAGTTATTTATTATATATTTATGTTAATTTTGGGGGTGGTTGTTCCAGATCTGGTGATTGACCTGTGGAATCCTGTAGAGTATTGGTTAGAGCGCTCGCCTCGCAAGCGAGAGAACCCGGGTTCAATTCCCGGATGGGGGAAACCATAGGTAAGTTTTCTTGCTCCACAAGACACGCTTCTGTTTACCTAGCAGGAAGTAGAAACCCAGTTGTTAGTCGAACGGTGGATCACTTTCCAGGGCTTCAAAAAAAAAAATTCAAAAAATTGCTGTGCACATTTGGTTGCTGTTTCCTCCATAGTCCATTCACTTTACAGTATATTCTGCAAAATGCTTTTGAGACTTCTCAACAACGGAAAAATGGTGATCTCAGAGCGGTCGAGACAGTGGGTGAAGCCAAGTTGGATGGGTGTAGAGTCCAGTAGCTCAGTGGTTAAAAGTGAGTGCCTTGCAAGTGAGACACCTGGGTTCAATTCCAGGCCGGGAGAAACCTTGGGCAAGTTTCCTTACTCCACACACCTAATAATAATCCCTCCAAAACCAAACAATAATAAATTGGTCATTTTCAATCCACGACTATTTGTGGGACATTGCTGTGCGCAATGGTTGCTGTGTTTCGCCCACAAATATACAGTCAATTCACTTTACAGCATATTCTGTGAAGCGCTTTGAGACGTCTAGAAGACGTCAAAAGCGCTATATCAAATGCAAGGATTATTATATTATTATATGAGCCAATTTCGGTTATGGTTGGGAGAATTTTGTGAAGGAAACACAGCAACCAATTGAGGAAAACATTAAGGGAGGTGGCGAACTGTAAAAAAAANTGCACTGTCGGAAAGATAAATATTGTTTTAAATACAAGTTCTAGCAGGTTTTCTAATTGAGCATTAAATAGCTATGACTTTATTTCACTCTGAAATGTGTACATTAATGTGTACTGGGCAAGGAAGAAAATTAGAAGACAATCCCATGCTATTGACTGCAAATGGACACACTGTATTTCCTGAGCATACAAAGGCAGTTTCAAATCTTTACCAAGTTCCAAAGCATGCAATGGGGCTTAAGAAAATGAAGTTAAACACAGAATCTGTGGCAAGGTTTACAATCTTCATAACCTGTGAGCCACATATCACATTTTATAAAACAAGCAGATATAGTCCTTAGCTTTAAATACCATAAATGTTGACTGTTCATATATTTCTGCATCGTGGTTTCAGCACATGCAAGCATTTCTGTGTAATTTTACATTAATGTACTGTAATTTAACTGCAACAGACTGCTGTACGTAGCAATTTTATTTCAATTCAGAGATTACTCAGCATTCAAGTTCACTAACAATATACTCGGCTTCCCAAGCAAATTACACAGGGAGGAAGAACATTTGTTTTTTTTCTTATCACAAATTGAAAATTTATATCAATCTGCAAAGCATAATACTTTAATGCAACGATTACCTAATTACAGGAATTAGTGGAGAAATCGCAAACTAGAAGTTAATGTTCATAAGCTTTTAAACCTGATGAAATCAAGTCATCCCACATATATCAAAAAGGATATCCTGCAATTGCACTAGGATCAGAAGCTCTCTGAATAACAAACAGAAACAAAGGAACTATTTTGCTATTTGTACAAACGTTTGTATTGGTGTTAAAATGTCATATCTTAAACCTTAATAAAAAGTGCATATTTCCTAATTGGAACCTCCTTCCCACTGAATACTAATAGAGTACCAACTCTGTGCACTGTCTGACCAAACAAACCCATATGTCCAGACACTTACACTTGACAGATGGCTGGACAGTCTTTTATTAACAGTTAGAAAACAAAGATATCGCGAATTGGGCTGTCATTAATTTTTAAAGGACATGTAGAAGTGTCAAAGTAAAGTACAAGAGTATTGGTTCTCTGACTCAATTTTTGTTCTTGGGTTGATTTTGTTAAAGCCCACCTCCACACTGTATTGTACAGTGTCTTTATTCTAGACTTAATATTCAATGGGAAAAAAAACAAAAGATTTTTATAAGTCACAAATTAAGACAGCAACCATATTTTGAGATAATGGTTGCACAATCAACAAACTGAATTAGACAGAACTTCATTATAAGTCACTGCTTGTGTCATAATAGTAAGTCACTGGTTCTCAAAAAAATGTCCTTGCACATATCCATCACAGCTATCCTTTGTATGAGGGTATGAAACATTCTGTTTCAGTGAAATCAGGGAAATCTTTAGTTATGATGTATATACAGCAGCTGTTAACATTTTCTCTTCAGACACTACTGCTTGTGTACACAAATACTTAACCACATCTTAATGTTCAGTTAATAGACCAATAGATTTTTGTACAGAATAACTCTTTCAAAAAGCTTCATTTATACAACACAAGATATTTTCTAGGAGACAAAATGTGAAAGCTGAAAATTACAGTGGGATATCGAGACTTGCTTTGGAATACAAACAACTGCACAGATAAGAGGATCTTATTTGTTGCAGTAAGTGTGAAAAGATACAACAGTGTCATGCATTTACTTTTCCCATATTTCCATGTTACATACAAGCAATACAGGGACATTCCTCTGACTTGTTAATCCACATTTACTGGGATAAGTCACAAATAAAAAGTGTTGAACAAATTGTTGAAGGTTGTGTTATTTTAAAGAAAAAGAAGCAGAACAGGGAAGCTTCACCAAATAAACATCCCCACCTTGCACAGCTAATAAAATGTACCCTTCTGTCACAGATAAGACTACAAATCTCCAAGTACAATATCCAAGGCTTAAAACAATTTGAGTTCCTTCTTGGAGATAGCCTCAAAACAAACCACACTTGCCTTCCGCCTGGATGTCTCTTCATTTCAATACAGACTACTCACTCCCCATCAGAATTAAAAAGAAAAACAGGAATTCAAAATGCAATAGTATTGGGAATACTACAAAATTCAACCAACACCTACTGTGTGAAGAAAAGTAAGCTTGGGAAAGGGAGTAATGTGCTTTTTGATTCACTGTGGGGAAGACCTATTTATTACGTACAAGTTGCTCACTGTTCCAATCTGAAACAAATAGTTTCCTTCCCAGAGGATGATTTCTATGCACCAAGATAATGATAAGTTAAAAAAAAGGTCAAGAAGGTTGTAATACAGTAAGTAACGTGCTCTGGTAAAGATGAAACTTGTGTAGTGGCACAAACCGACCAGAATACCTGTATAACCTAAAAGTGTAAACATAGATAAAATTGCACTGTGTCAATGTCCCATCCATCTGAAATTCTGACAGGAATGGAAAGGCATTGTAAAGAAATTACAACTATAAATGTTCATGATTATTAGAGAGGTTTCTTATTTCAAAAGAATGTATTGGTTTTATCACTGTGAATGAGGGAGGCGAATGGGTGAATAGCCAATGCAATCCAAAAATGTAGATGGAGGATCAAGATGAACTGTAACTTTGTCTTGAATCAGACTCTATGCTCGATGCCTGTTCACATGTTTTGAGTTCACTTTGATAATTGGTCCCGTTAAAATTGCACAACGGAGAGAGACAGGCAAAATGGCTGTCATCGGAACAGGAACAATTGACAAATGCAGTATCTGGTAATTGCTGCTTTAGATCCTCGAATTCCTCCACTCGGAAGATGCTTGTCTGTCCCATCAGAGCGTCACAGATCCTGTTTAAACAGAAACATTTACATCAACTTCATGGGGAAATCGGCCCTTTCTAATGGCAGACTTTACACAACAACAAATTATATTTGTATAGCGCCTTTCACATTGGGAGACGTTGCAAGGCACTGGACAGTCAGGATTTACACCCGAACTGGGGGTTGGGATCAGGAGGGGTGGAGGGCAGTGGTAGGAGGGTGACTGAAAACGCAGTCAAAGAATACGGTCTTGAGAAGGAAGAGACAGGAAGAGAATCGTCTTCAACAGGAAGAGAAGTCATCAGGTAAAGTCTGCCATTAGAAAGAGCAGATTTTTTAATCTCTTTATTAATTTCTGAGGCAGTGCATTCCAGTTTTACAACTCTCTGACTAGCATGCTTCATGTCCCCGGCACTCCCCTCTCCACATTCTGTGGTCAAGCTGTCAGCCTATCTGCTCCACTTTCTGGACATCCATCTCGAAGTCCCTCTGACGCTGCTCCTCCTTCACCTCTTTCAAGGTCCGTCTGAAGACAAACTTCTTTTGACTGCCATCTTTTCCCTCCCCAACCTTCTCGGCTACCACCACTAGCTTGGCTGCCAAGCCAGAATTGTTAAGTGCCTTGGGATGTCCTTCCAACATGACAGACGTTATATAAATGTGAACTTGTGTTTATATTGCAAGACATTTTTGATCTCACTTCTAACAGGTTTAGCTTCAATTCAAACAGAATATCCCCTTGTTTTTGATCCATATACTGGAGGAAAAATAGATGATTTCCTGTCCATTCTCCCTTTGTTTTTTGCTGCAAAATATACAGTCATTTCACTTTACAGTATATTCAGTGAAGCGCTTTGAGACATCAATGACCTGATAAGGCGCTATATCAAATGTAAGGATTATTATTATTACAATGGTGAAATAGTGACATCCTAATCATTTTAAGGCCTTGATTTGTAAAATCAAAATGTATCCTTTTCACAACCACAAAAACATACTGCAACAGAATATAAATGTAAAATAATCTAATACAGTAATACCAAATGGCAGAAAAAATTGACTAACCAGATCTCTGTACAATACAATTTACATTTACAGTGCTTTACACATCATGAGAAACTCCCAAGGCACTTAAAACAATCCTGGCTTGGCACTAAACAATCCTAAAGCCATTCTCTGTGTGCCTTGTGATAACTGTAATGAATTAGTTCAGGATAAAGCTCTTCAACAGCAGAGTGCGATCCACAGTCAAATACTTTTTAGAAAACATGATCTGGTTTCATCAACTGTGGGAGAGACATATTCATTTACACAGGACCTTTCAAATAGCGAGAATGAATTCATAGAATCCTGCAGCACAGAAGGAGGCCATGACTGTGCCAGCTCATTGAAAGAGCTATCCAACCAGTCCCACTCCATCACTCTTGCCCATAGACCTGCAATTTTTTCCTTTTCAAGTACATACCCAATTCCCTTTTGAAAGCTTCTATCAAATCTGCTTCCACTGCCCTTTCAGGCAATTGCTCAACCTAACTGATGAATGTGCATCAATTTTAACATCTTAAAGCAATTCTGTAGCAAGATGTAGTAGGTTTCAATTTTACATATAGATCTTACTTGTCATAGATCAGGCCATCAATTCCATATTCCTTCAATATTCTCCTGTTGTTAGATTCATTCGTATCATCGCCCCAGCAAAAAATAACCAAACCCTTTGACTTGGCCTGATAAATGTAGTCCAGGTTTCGAAGCAAGTCCTCTGTGTGCACATTGATTCCCTTTAACAAAACACAAATGAGACTGAAATCTGGAGGGCAGGCTATTTGATTATCAATGTTAAATACAGTTTCATCTTACTTACAAGAAGGTTTTCTGATTGTGCAAAACTCATTGCGATTGAAGTAGTTCGGCCCCTGAGATCCATTAGCTCTGGGTAGACATTCGAATAGCCTTGGGTGAGAAAAAGAACTGGATACTTGTTTTGCTTCTGTCTAAACCTATAAAAATACAAAGTGGGAAGCACTTATCATTTAAAGATCAACAAAAGATTGAGTTGTCTAACCATTTGCTAACCTGCGCCTAACACTTTCCGGAATTAGATAAGCAGGATGTGTCCCTCCAAGGAGAGAGTGCGCATTCCTTTCCATCTCTGGAATTTCCACGTGTAGGTGGGATGCATGGAATTCTCAGTTTGATTTGGATTCTCTTGAGCACAGTGATGGGTTTCTGTATGTGTCAGACACCCAGCTGACCAGAAAAAAACACTAACCACAGCAAACAATCAGTCAAGATAACATATACATTTGTTAAACCAATTCTACAAGCTTACTGGTTAATGTTACACATCAACAGTCAAATGTACACATTTGAATAGATGGGAACTTTCCATTTTACAACCCACCATTAAAGCTAACTGATCAATTTTGTTTCGGAACAAACATTGGAAAATGGTTTCATTTTTACATAATCAACCTCAGGATTTCTACATAACAAAAGTCAGGCAGACAGGATGCAAATTGATCAGGATGAAAATATGCAATAAAAACAAAAGATGAATACATTTAAAATTGAAGCTAATGCAAATTGCTGCAACTTTAAGTTGAGATCATAATATTCTGAACTTGCTCTCTAAATGAAACAAATATGAAAAATATAAGTTAATGATAATTGTTTTAATGCTGGGGAAAGTGCTGAATTCTCAGAGGCGGTGTCCTTTTGAAGAAATGTTAAAACCAAAGTCCCATTTGCCTATTCAGGAGGACGATAAAGATCTTATGGCACTATTAGAAAAAGAGAGGGGCGTTTCTCTCATTGTCCTGGCCAAGAAAAATCTCAAAAATTGGTCAATTAACTTCCTGGCTTTTTGCACACAGCAATATTCCCGGCTGTGGTTGCCTACAGAGACACCCTTTACAACAAGTTTTTTTAATGACGTTTCAACAGGATACATCATGAAATAATAATAATCTTACATCTGATTCAGCAACTTCCATGTCGGAAGGACATCTCAAAGCCCTTCACAGAATATGTAATGACTGCATGTTGTAGGTGAACACAGCACAATAAGTCAGTCCTATAAACAGCCATGACGTGAATGACCAATTCTTTGCGGGAGTGGTTGACCAGGACACCAAAAAATGATATGGTGAGGGGGGGGGGCTCGAACACACAAACTGAGTACTACCAACTGAGCCAGAGCGACACACAAAATACAAAGATTTATTATTATTCAAGAAGCAACTTACATTGAACAGACATCACAAACGAATGAAGAAAACACGATTCTTCTGTTGGCTGCATTTTCCAACACACATTTCAGGATTATGTCAACAACATGATTCATATCTAAATAAGTTTCCATGTTACCTTCCCAAACACCATCCTGTTAACAGAAATAATAACACTTTAGAAGTTGTGGTACTTTGAGTTAACAAAATATTTTCTTATTTCAATTCACTGAGCTACTGGCTAACCGGACTAACAGGTATGGAGATCCAGTTGGGCAAACTGGACTTTCCAGCTAACTGCTAATCCTATTCCCTAACATTTAAAATAAGTAAAAATAAATCCTCCAGAACATTTAAAATGAATAAATCAAATTTTCAATCAATAAACAAAAAATAACAATAGTTCTGTGCTGACTAACCCGATGAGGCTTTGCTGATGCCCTCAACGAAACCAATCAATGGCAATCTGTGGGCCTCACATGGGCTGGCAGGGGTATGAAAGCACGGGGTGAACTTTTGAATCACGGAATTTCTTTTTGGACCCAGCCCGGCTAATTCTGAATTCTAGATGCTTGGGGTCTGGATAGCTGGGGGTTTACTGTGTATAATTTCTTCATCAGCTATTGGACAGAGAGGGAAGGGAGGATATTTACAGGACATCTTATGATGTGCCAGACACCTTGATGTTCTAGAAATTTAAATCTAATGTCATACACCAGCCTTATTCAGCACTCCTGCTTAATCCAGGTCTTCATGTGAGGGGCCCAGAGACACACAAAGACAAATAGAAGGCACTGATTGATTCATTCGCAAAGAACAGCTACTTTCAAAACCTTCACCTCAGCTAAGCCCTCCTGTCTAATGCCTATTCTGAGATGAGCTGCTTTACTAGTTGGTAAATCCTAGTCTTTTGAATCATTTTATACAGTATAATTTAGGTGAAGCAGGAACCTCCTGATTTCTACATCATGCAATTTCAACCTTGCAAATTAACCTCTGAGTGTATTTGGCTGAAAACAAAAATCAAACACTCCCCACATCTTGTAATAATAGACTTTACAAAATAAATCTGTTACGCAAATCTACTACTTACTCTTTGCTGATATGGCCATTTAATTTCAATATTGAATCCAATACGCTCAGGCACACATTTTAACACCTGAAAATACAAATAGATTTGTATCCATATAATCATGTCTATATATGCAACATTGACAATTTACTTGTATTAATTTTTTGACAATTCAAAAACAAAAAAAAGCAAACGGATCTCGGTTCAATTTCCGGGCAGAGCGAAACCTTAGGCAAGTTTCCTTACTTAACTCATATCCACACAGTGTCAGGCAGCAGTAAATACAACAAACATAAGCTAGCCCCACAAAATCAAATCAGTTGAGTTTGGGTCTCCAGAAGTCACACAAGCTCATGCTCAAGAGTGCTCCAGTCAGCCTACATCCTGCTGATTGTTGTCAGAACGTAGAAGAGTAACTGAGTTGATGGCTCAAGTATTGAGTTTATCCAGACTTTAGAGATATTGAAAAAGAATAAATCGCTTCTCAGCCTTTTGGCTAAGATCAAGTGTAGTTTATTTTCTTATCAGTTACTCCTTGGGCTAACACCTGCCAGAAAACTTCTCCTGTTGAGATTTGCCTGTGGTACACTGAACACAACCAAATCTCATTCATCCTTTAGGGGCTGTAAAGGGAAGCATTGAGCTCCTTCAAATAAGCCTTTGGCCCTATGTTGGCTAGAATTGGTATTGCGGCACTTCCAATCTGAGGAGTTTGATCTGCCCTCACAAAGAGAAAGCATATAGATACTGGAGTACAGAGCTCACTTGAGCACTTGTAGTCAAGAGAGGCGATCCAGTCGGCTGATTTGCTCGGAAGACAGGTTTCAGGTTGGGGCTTGTCTGCGGAGACAAACTTGTTCGCTAGTGGAATGTGCTTCAGTCTAATTGCAGGGCTATGGGCTAAGAGCAGGGGAGTTAGCAGCTCTTTTAAAGAACTGGCACAGGCCCAATGGCCTGAATGGCCTCCTGCTGAGCTGTAAGATTCTATAATTTGGTTAATGAGGATGAACAGGCCTAACCTCGCTCACCAATAAATAAATCTCAGCAGCTGGAATAGGTCACAAGGAATGTTGGTTGAGTCCAGGGCAGCACAGCTTGATACTGTGGTAAGAAGGCAGAATTGGAAGGATACGGTACAAAGTACTAAGGGCTTTCTTTTTAAATTTAATTATTTTTCTCATTTCTCTCCCCATCGGCATGTGACTGTGTTCTCTGCCTCCTCTGTGAGGTGAGGTTCCACAGGCACTCAATGCCCTCCTCCCCAAGTGGATCGTGTACCTGTTTCAGGGATGGAAATGGTTGGTTTTCTGAAGCATCGTTTTCTTCATCCACAGAATTTGCTGAGGAATTTAAAGAAAATAATTTCCATAAATCTCACAATTCAGCACAGACGAGAGAAATCATGGATAAACACAGAAGTGCAGATTAGAGTAAAACTAAATATATAAACAAACCCCGAGGACTCAGTTTATTTGGTGAGAATATGATCTGAATAAATATATGAAACAAAGTGAAATGACAGAATGTCCAGGGCACCAAACTTCATAAGAGATTTCAATTGTTTTTGAGGATTTCAAGACGGAATACCAGAACACTAAAAAGTGTCATGTGCGTCCTTTGTGATAATCAAAGTCTATAAGTACCTTTATCTTCATTCAACTTCAAAGCAGTCACATGCGCCAACTGAAAAGATTAAAATGGTAAGTTATGGTACCACATAAGACATGATTAAATACAGTAAACTTGTCACTCCACGGGAAAGGGGGCTCAGTGGCAAACTATCAGTAGTGACGAGTTAGGCATTCGTATAGACACTTAAAAAATTCAGCCGGGATATTGACTGCATGATGACTTAAGTGCTTGTGACACGTAAAGTTGGGGTTGAATTATCAGAAGTTTACTACATTTCAAAATTCAGGCTTCACGTATAACTTACTGACAAGATTCTTAAAAAAAAATCTGAACATTAATTAGTGCTAACAAACACTACACATCAGTTCAAATCAAAAACTAAATTCAAACGTATTGCTTTAGGGTCCTTTTAGATCTCTTTTAATGATGGTCAATAGAAAAGTGCGGCCACACTATTTCTGTGGAATCCGTTATAAACAGCACCCTCCGCTACAAACAAAGTTTCAAGCCCTGGGCCTCTCATGCTGGTGCCGGCTGTTTACTCGATGTCAATGTGGGCGGTGCGGCTCCAGACACACATGCACGGTGCGACACAAGCGGCAAATGGGCTTCCCTCCTCCCGGACGCCCCACTGTTGTGTGTCTGTTGTGGAAGTGACTGTGTGAGGCCCTAAGAGACAGGAGGTGGTGAGCTCCTGTCGCCTCGCTGGTGTCCCCCCACACCCGCCCCAAATGGGCCACCCTGTCTCTCCTCACCCCCAAATGGGCCATTCAGTTTTTGTTAAAAGAAGAACTTAATTTTTTTTAAATTGTAACAATCTAACAACAGGCTATTTCCTTATGCTTAGTTTTTATCAATAAAGTGAAAAAATGTAGGTTGGGAGTAAAATGTACCTCAATAGTACCAATCAACTCTGCAAAATTTCCCGCAAAATTTGTCAAACCTACCTGTAATCTCCTGGGGCACTAGCAAATTTCCTTGCAACTTTTGGCAAATATTTCCGCACTTTTGTATTGACCCAGATAATGACCACATAAAATGAATATCACATGCTGTAGTAAAACGATAATCATCTTATATTATTGCTTTCAGCCATATTTCCCTCTTATTTCAAGTCTCCCACATCGTGCATAATTAATAAAGTGACCTGCTCTCAGGCCTTCATCAATCTGCTGAGTGATAGACTGTGAGGAGGTGAATCACTCCAGGTGTAAACCTGTTTAATATAGCAAGCTAGTAAACTGAATTACTGCACCAATGAGTCAACCTACATTTAATACAAAGAAACTTATTGAGAACAAAAAGCTATTTCTATCTATTAAGACCTTGTTTAATTGTATTCTTTGTGTTCTTAAATAAATACTCTGCTCTCTATTCAACTACCTTGTTTTCTTAAATGGTGTAAATATCACAAGCAAAGTTAGTGACCAAAGTCCACATTTGAAGTTTGATGAAAAAAACAAGGTAATCAGGTCTAGTTTACTCTGGCTTTGTGAGCTGGAGAGCTCGTACTTTGGTAAACTTGGATAAGCTGCTGTATTGTGAACCAGAAGGTTAAATACATAATATATCAACTTAACAAAAGGTGTGGCGTGCAATGTTGGGAATGCAATGGTAGCAACTAAGAAAGGGGGTTCTAGATAAATTAGGCAAACGTAGAAGACAAAGCAACAGGTGCAGATGGACTGTCCCCAAGGATCCGTAAATAAACTAGGGAGGAGATAGCTGAGGCACTAATATACACAGATTCAGGAACTCAGTAGCAAAGGGAATCGTGCCAGAAAACCGGAGGATGGCAAATGCAATACTCATTTTTACATAGGAAATAGAGCTAATTCATTTAACTTCAGACCAATTATCTTAATATCTGTACGTAAAGTATTCCAATACCTTCGCTTTCTGTCCAAATTATAAAAGTACAGAAGTACTGCTAAATGTATATAAAACATTGGTTAGACTGTATTTGGAATACTGTGTATAGCTCTGGTCAACACATGAAAGATTATATATAACATATTAGGGAGAGGGATTTTTTGGTCAGCCAGGTGCCTGTCAGATGCAGAAACTCATCACCATGATTAAAAGTATCCAAACCAGAGTTCCACGTATACACATAGAAATTACAGTGTCTGGAATGGAATACTCACTCGCTCTCTCATCCTGGAGAGATGCACCCTGCTTATCTAATTTTGGAAAATATTAATCACAAGTTGGCAAGATATATATATATACGCATATATATATATCACACACACATACTCTCCACCATTATAATCTGCTTCCTTTGAGCCATAAACTTGCTAAACCTGTGGAGACCTGTGGCTCAGTGGTTAGAGCACTCGCTTTGCAAGCGAGAGACCTGAGTTCAATTCCAGGCAGAGGGCGAAACCTTGGGCAAGTTTCCTTACTCCACACACAGCCTAATAATAATCCCTCCAAAACCAAAAACAATAATAAATTGGTCATTTTCAATCTACGACTGTTTGTGGGACATTGCTGTGCGCAATTGGCTGCCGCGTTCGCCCACAAATATACAGTCAATTCACTTTACAGTGTCTTCTGTGAAGCGCTTTGGGACGTCCTCCCGACGTGAAAAGCGCTATATCAAAATGCAAGGATTATTATTATTATTATAAACCTGCCATCTTGTGGCTGGATCTGAAATTACACTTAGTGAACATTAAGTACATAATCTTGTCGGTTCTCGATGCACAGCTGTAATAAGCAGAATAAGACACCCCCACCTCTCCACCAAAACAGCACTGTTGGACGCCCTCCTGATATGAAAGATGCTACACCAAACGTAAGAATTGTTATTTTTCAACATTCCTAACTAGATAAAGGTACGATTTACCTTTAACAGCTGTAGTTGCTCAAATGTAAGCTCCTTTACTGGAATTTCAAACAATTCTGCAGATTCTCCAACAATCCCCTTATCCGCTTTCTAAAAACATAGAACAAGCTAGAGACGTGAGTAATGCTCAAAAATACACATTTTGCCTACAAAATATACAGTCAATCCATTTTATAGCATGTCCCGTGATGCGTTTTGAGGCATTTCAACAATGTGAAAGGCGTATTATTATATTATCATATTCAAGGATTATTATTATAGACTGTATTGAGGTGTGTGGTGGAAATGTTTTACCATTATAATAGAACAAAATGCTGTTACATTTAAAATAAAGGACCAAAACCCTACATAATATTGAATTGGGAAAGAAATGTTACAACAAATACTAACCTTTTTCATCGAGATACAGCAGGTGAGGTCATGGTACACAACAGGAACATAATCTTTTGAAATTTGCACATCGAATTCCACAAAGGCAGCACCCTGAAGTAAATCAAATGTTCCAGATATTATATACAACTTAGTGTAAGTGAATTCTTATGAAGCAAAGTGGTTAGTTTAACAAATGTTTAACTGAGTATCACCAATACATCCGGATCTATATCCTAACTGTAAAAAGCTGACATGCTGGAAGGTGGCTGTAAACATTTCAACAGCAACTTGCACTTAGATAACGCTCTCTACGCAGGGTAGCATCTCAGAGCACTTAAAATACAAAATACAAAATTTTGATAACAAAATAGAGTCTTCACTTTACAATATATCCTGTAAAGCCCTTAGCACGTCTCAAGGACATGCTAAGGCGCTGTATTAAGTGCAGGGATTATTATTATTATTGTTCAAGGAAAGAAGGATTCCAACCTTGTTATTTAATATATATTATACATACACATAGACACGCCACAAGGAGCTGATTTTTCCTCCATATAATGGTTGAATTTAATCCAAGTGGAGGAAGCCGAATGAGCAAAAATTGGCTCCCATTCAGTGACATGCTTCACCTTGAGGAAGACATTTCCCCAAAATTAGGCTGGAGAAAAAAATACAAGGGAAACCCAGGTAAAGCTATATTGACTTACGTGACCAGCAGCATTTTTGAAGGAAGCAATGGTGTTTTCTCGAACTTTATCAAGGCTGAAGAACAAACATTAAGAAGTCAGTATCTTCTCCTTTCTCCTCAAAATCAGACGAATTTTTCCTACAGTTGAGCCATAACAGCAAGTGTTGACACTCATAGATATCACAGCTGGACCCAATCCTGTCCTCCCACCTACACACATGCGCAGCTTCTGAGCAGTAATTGGAAGAACTTTTGTAATATGATTGAAATAAGAGTTTTCTATGAAATCAAACATTGGTCTTCACTGTATTCATGTCTTTACTGCGCTATACAAGTGCAAGTTGTTGTTGTATCTCTGTAACCTTACAGAGATACAGCAACAATTTGCAGGATTGTGTCCAAATCATCCACCCTGCTCCATCTGCTCAGAGAACACCAGCCTGCTTCATGTCCCTCGTCTCACTACTGGTGAATGAGTTTTCAGCCATGCTACAGTGCTCTCCAGATCTCCTCTGCCTCACTCCTCCCTTCCCACCTTCAAAGTATGCCTTAAGACCTTTTTTTAAAAAAAACCTTTTGGTAACATCCCCCCCAGTTTGGACTCCCAGTTAGCTTTGTGATGCACTTTGAGACATCCTCCTGACATGAAAGGCGCTACAGAATTGTTAATTGTGGAATCCCAGGTTAGGACTGTTCAGTGCAAGCAAATTTTATGCTGCAACCTTGTGCTTTGTACAACTAAACGTTACTATATATCAAAAAACTAAATCTAGGATGCTTATGACTACCTGGGTAAAAACAAAGTAAAATATTCCCTAAACCTCCGGGGTCAAACCGAAGCATTCAATTCAAAACATGACTCACTTTGCAGTTGTTGAATTTCCTGCACCTCTGTGCCCAACATCTAATGGCATTCTTGGTTTCCAGTACTTAGAAATGGAAGGACTCATATCAAGGTTGTAACCTTGCATAGGTTTAATGATGATGTAGTCAACTGTACAAAAGAATAGAAAATGGTTATTTTACATTCGGAAGCCCAGTAACAGAAAATTAATCCTTACGTTTGATATAGTGCCTTTGACAAGAGAACTTCTCAAAGCGTTTCACAGCTATGAGGTGACAAGTGTATTTTCCGGCCTCTCTCAGTTACTGAACCTGTGAGTAATCTTGGCGTCTGGTTTGATCCTCAGTTTTCCTTTAGCCGTTATATGCAGGCCCTGAGCAAAACTGCTTTTCAATCTACAACTGTTTGTGGGACACTGCTGTGCGCAATTGGCTGCCGCGTTCGCCCACAAATTCACTTTACCGTATATTCTGTGAAGCGCTTTGGGACGTCTAGAAGATGTGAAAGGCGCTATATCAAATGCAAGGATTATTATTATTATTATTGGTGCATGTCCTCCGTCACTATTGGTGCTGAGTTTTCCAATTTGTTTGCCCTGAACTTCTGGAACGCTCTCCCTCGCCCCCTCTGTCTTGCCCTCTCTCTATCTGTCTTCAAAGCTCACCTTAAAACCTGTAGGGCCTTGAAGACAGATAGAGAGGTGACATGTATTAGATACCTATTGCGAATCCTTAGATACGTATAAGGTATCTGATACTTATCAGCTCCTTCACCCCCTCTCCCGTTGCTCATCATCCACCCACCTTGATAAAGCATTCCAAAACGTTATCCTACGTGAAAGGTGCTATATTGGTGCTGGTGTTTAGGCTAACATACACCATATATTTAAATACCTTTTTCAATTTAAGCTTTTCTGTTGTACTGTTACATATTGGCATTCTAATGTGTTCAGATTTTATAATCCTGCTCACACAGATGGTCTTCAATAAATTTTGTTTTACTATGCTTTACAATGTAAGATTACTGTGTCCTTAATGTTTTCCATCCATTCCTTCTGTGGCGTAAAGCAATAACATTTATAGCTGTTCATTTTGCAGGACTGCAAGTTAAAATCTTATGTGAATGAATACAGAATAGCAATACCCAGCAAGTGTATTGACTTGGTTCAAAATTATAGGGCCATTTGTATGAATGTTATTCCAAAATCATTGTATGTATGTATGTATGTGTGTGTGTGTGCATGCATGCATGCATTATTTTTTCAGACGATCAATACCGTTCACTTTTCCAATGGTTTGTCTTGAGTTTCTGCTCATAATAGGCAGTGTAATAATCCCGCTAGTTTTTTCTACAATGGTTGAAGACAGAAGGCAGGCACTTCCCACTTGACCTGGAAGTGCATCTCCTTGTACTACTGTTTGACTCAACTCTTCCTGGTGAAGAAAATAAGAATTAAGAGATTAGACAATGGCCAAATCAATTGCAATTGTATTCCAAAACCCAAACCAGCAAGATTCTTAAAGGGGAAGGATATATTCTGTTTGAAAGTTTTCATTTAGACTTAAAAGACCTTTCTGGAACAGATTTTTTCAACTCCAATCTCTCTTCATTCTCTTGAGCTCATTCTCAGTCTAGTTTGCTACTTGTTGAGCAATATGGTAAATGTTAAACTCACTGAAAATAATAAAGAAATGGCTGGAATATTAAACAAATACTTGAGCTCAGTTTTCACAAAGAAACTCTCTTATTCTGATGCTCTCTCGGCACTGATTTACTGACCTGATTGAATAATAGATGATGTAGGAAATGAAATCATATCAGTTATTATTATATTATTTGCAAGAATTATTATATAGTTAAGATAGGGAGGAAGGAGGTTCTAGATAAACTGGACAAACTTAAAGAGGACAAAGCACGGGTCCAAAAAGTATAACAATAATTTTAATAATCCTTGCATTTCATTTAGACCTTATCACGTGGTTAAGATACCTCAAAGTGCTTCACAGAATATACTGCAAAGTGAATTGACTCTATTTTGTGGGCGAAATGCGGCAGCCAATTGCGCACAGCAGTATCCCGCAAATAGTTGTGGAATGAGTGACCAAATTATTATTTATTTATTACCCCCAGAAAAGCGATCCACCAATTGACTAACAACCGGGTTCCTACTTACTGCTAGGAAAACAGAGGCGTGTGGAATAAGAAACTTGCCTAAGATTTCGCCCTGCCTGGGAATTAAATCCAGGTCCTTTCGCTTGCGAGGCAAGTGCTCTAACCAATAGGCTACAAGACTCTACAAGGATACACCCAAGGATCCTTAAATAAACTGGAGGAGACAGCTGAGTCAAGGCCATATATAGATTTAGGAACTCAGTAGAAAAGGAAATCACGACAGAAAACTGGAGCCTGGCAAAGATAATACCCATTTTTTGAAAAATAGGGTTTTTTAGATAATTACAGGCCAGTGAGCTTGACGTCTGCAGTAGGGAGGCTATCGGAGTCTATAATAAAGGATGAAATAACCAAACATCTCGAAAAGGAGAGTGTAATTAACTGCTGTCAGCATGGATTCATAAAAGGACTAACCTAGAACAATAGAAATTTACAGCCCAGAAAGCCATTCAGCTCATTGCGGCTGTGATGGCTATTTTAAAGAGCAATCATTTCATTCCCATTGACTTTCCTTTTCTCCATAGCCTTGTAATTCACTCCCTTTTAGTTATTTATTCAATTCCATTTTGAAAGAGAGTGAGTGTGTGTGTGAAAGAAATCACAGAATGTCTAGCACACCCATTTTCTGAAGAGTTTCCCTGTTGATTTACTCCCATGGAATGCCAGCAATGCTTATTTGTATGTAGAGGTTAAGCAAATGGCACTTCCTCTATTATCATGTCCCTATTATTCCTCAGATTTGCCAAAAAGAAATACATACCTCAAAGAAGTCGAAGATGAGTTCTAGGTTATCAGGTTCCATGGTTTGAATGCTATACTCAGTCCACTGGTCATTTTCCAAGGCATATCCACAATCTGGCTGCGAGTGACGTGATTTATATCCATTGTTGCTGATTAAGGAAATTTCTAATGTATTGGCCATTTTTTGCCCCGGGGAAGGTATTGGTTTCTCTTCATCATCGTCCTCTTCCAAACCTTCCAAAGTCAACTTTACCCTGAAGAAAAATAACGAAAAATTAAAAAACAGCCGTGAGTTTTCAGCTGACAAGTCCACTCCATGCTCAAGAATCTGTAATCTTGCCTGCAATACGCAAAAAACAAATAATTGGTTAAAAAGGGTTGCCAGATTGCTGACGTCATTTCCTGTGAGCTGCAGTTGAGGAATGGAAAGCTATTTGCCATTCAATCCCCAAAGAGTCCACTTCCAATCATCTACTGAAAGGACAATTGAAGCATTTGTGTTGACCGCATTGCGAGTATCCAGCTGGAGCAGATGGGGAATAATAATAATAATCCTCGCATTTGATATAGAGGCTTATCACTTCATTGGGACATCTCAAATACACTGTGAAGTGAATTGATTGTGTATTTTTGGGCGAAACGCAGCAGCCGATTGCGCTCAGCAGTATTCCACAAACAGTCGTCATAAAATATGTTTTAAATGTTTATGAAGGGACTATTAAAACGATCCACCAATCAACTAACAACTAAGTTCCTACTTACTGCTAGGTAAACAGAGGCGTATGGAGCAAGGAAACTTTCGCTTGGACTGGGAATCAAACCCGGATCCTCTTGCTTGCAAGGCGAGCGCGCTAACCACTATGCCATGGGGCTCCATTAGCACTTTCTATGAGGCTGGGTTTAGGCGGGGAGTACCATAGTAACAAGAGTGGTGCCTCAGTGGAGATGTACTTCCAAAAGTGGCAGGTGCTTTTGGCTTTGATTTCATACAGCTAGCAACTTCATTGTGTTTCAGATCCCATGACGTCATCCATACAGAGATATCATTGTGCATGTCTGGAACACATCTGGCCAGCGGCTAAATAATTGCAGCAGGTGCCAAGAGCTGATGCTGAATGGTGAGTAGTTTTGCTCTTTGCTTGTTTTCTGCAATTTGTTATCTTTAGTTTAGCAATAGGCATGACTCATTCTGAATGTAAATGTTTCTGCAATCGGAGTCCTGTAGCTCAGTGGTTAGAGCACTCGCTTTGCAAGCGAGAGACCTGAGTTCAATTCCAGGCATGTCAGGGCGAAACCTTGGGCAAGTTTCCTTACTCCACACACAGCCTAATAATAATCCCTCCAAAACCAAAAACAATAATAAATTGGTCATTTTCAATCTACGACTGTTTGTGGGACATTGCTGTGCGCAATTGGCTGCCGCGTTCGCCCACAAATATACAGTCAATTCACTTTACAGTGTGTTCTGTGAAGCGCTTTGGGACGTCCTCCCGACGTGAAAAGCGCTATATCAAATGCAAGGATTATTATTATTATTATTATTATTATTATTGGGCTGCAGCCAGCAGCTGCAGAATAGATACATTCTATATTTGTTTGGTTATGGTGTTATTCCATCAATGTATGCAGTCGAGAATCAAACCAAGCACAGCAGTATATTCTATCCTGTGTTATGCAACCGGAAACCATTGCCATTAAAGTTTATTATCTTAGCAGCCTTTCCTATTTTTAGCAATCTGTTCAATTATGTTTTGGGTCCACCTATTTTCTATAGTAACACTATTTTCTACACTAACTTCCTCCTCTCTGTTTTCTATATCTATACTAATGTCGTGCAGGGTAGTGCCCAGAGGGCTTAAAGCATCCTCTGGCACTGCACCCAAGTTATTTTGTGTGAGTTTAGACAAGTGAGTGTTGGTAGACATTACCAACCACGTCTGCTGTAGTTTCCACCCATGTAGGGATTGCACCCCAGCAGGGATTGCTGAATAGCTAGCAATTGGGAATGGAATTTTTCTCTCTTTCATCTTGAAAATTGAGGTCAATTCAGATTTCTCAGCACTGGACTAGAGTTCTGGTGGGGAATCCAAAACAAGGGGGCATAATCTTAAAATTAGAGCTAGGCCATTAGGAGTGAAAACAGAAGCATTTCTTTCACAGAAAGTGTAGTGGAAATCTGGAACTCTCTCCCCCAAAAAGGCTGTGGATGCTGGATCCATTCAAATTTTCAAGACTGAGCTGGATAGAATTTTGTTAGGTAAGGGTAGCAAGGGATATGAGGCAAAGGCAGGTAATTGGAGTTGAGGTACAAGTCAGTCATGATCTAACAGAATGGTGGAACAGACTCAAGGGGTTGAATGGCCTACTCCTGTTCCTATGCTACTATCGACTGGCTGAGAGCAGCCTGTATTGGGAGAGCTAAAGTTCCAACCCAAATCCATTTGCTATTCACGTCACAAAATTGCACCAGTATTATTAGTACACTGTGAATCAGCAAATTAATCAATCAGTCAACAATCTGGATGTTTTAGGAGCAGAACTGCTTAAATTTAAAGGTTTAACAAATACAAATTCTTTACCTAAACCTGGATTTCTTGAACTTCTTCTTGGATATCAAAACTGGTGGTTTGTCAGAATAGTGCAATCTCAGACGAATTTCAGTTTGGCACGTTAACCATCCAGAATCCAATTTTTCAACACCATCTAAGAAGATAAATGAAATTAGTTGCTGCTCACTGAAACTAAATTATTCACCAATACAAGTCTGTCCATAATTATACTTTTGAGGTTAGAATAAACCCAGGGATGGCACAGAATTCATTTGTGTTGCTATCATAAGTGCTGCATCTGTGAGAAAACATATCATCTGTAATTATAATCAAAGGCTTTACAAAATGTCACAATCGAGTCAATCCTTGGTAGTCTGGTTCCTGAGCCAGGCAGTACTCCAGGGTGATAATGATGACACACTCAGCAATACTGGCCTATTTCATGTCCCCAACCCCTCATTCAAGGCAGGTCTTAAAATGTACTTCTTTCACTGCACTTTCGTCATCTTTCTCCTACCCACCCCAATCAGCTCCCATTCCCCACCTTGGGTGTCCATTAAGCATTTAAGACGCCCTCCAATGTGAAAGGCACTATATAAAATGTAAATTGTATTGCATCGTAAGACAGTCTGGCCCATCAGCAAGACTTGGCAGTCGTAGGCCACAAAGAGCAAGGATTCTTTCACTCGATCCTGAAAGCCAAAGCTCTGACAGACAAGGTCCTATATGGAGAAGAAGCAGGAAGCTGCTATAAATGACAAGCTGGGATGTTTTATTTGGTTAAACGCTAGCAGTTACCCAGTACACACTCTGGGGTCCTCAACCTTAGGCTCTTGCCAACCTGCACCTAATATTTTCTGGAAGCAGGGTCATTCCCTCTTGGAAGAGTGCACATTCCATTCCAGACACAGGGAAATTTCCACGTGTAGGTGGCTTACATATTAAATCTCTTGCTTGGATAATCGAGCGTAGTAATGGGGTTGTGTATGTGTCAGACGCTTGTCTGACCAAAAAACAAATTGGTGGAGCAGAGAGGTGTTATGGCTGAAATTGTCTGTTAGGAGTAAAAACAAGGTTGTGTTGCAATGCTGAGCTGATTGTGCTAAACTGCTTTTGCTGAAAACAATGCTAGTTACTGACTACAGGAAAACTAAGCTGTACAGGGGTCAAAGACCATATTTGGGAATAAGTTAAGAACGTTGGTATTGTGACTTTTACTGTAAATACAATGGCTGAAAGAATGAATGATAAGGAAGAGGTTGTGGCTAACATGTTGCAGGACCACGTGAATACCCAAATAAGGTCGGTAACTTGCAAAACAGATTAGGGGGCATAGTGTGCTGGGGTGCAAAGGATAAAAATAAGGGTAAGAACAGAAAAAAGACAGACGTCTCTGGAATACGTGTAGATGGAAGATTGAAAGCAGGAAGAAACAAGTTTGCATGCTGTAAAGACACAGTGCTGAGTTTGTAGGCTGTAAAGACACAGTGCTGAGCGTGAACCATCTACAGTAGTATTGTTCCGTTATAAGATCGAGTGATTGTACCTGCCTTTGTTCTACCCATTGGGAAACTGGGGAATAACGATTAATAAAACAGTCTAATATCTGGTTGCAAATGGGTGTTGGCTGACTTTATTTCTAACAGGGGTAAGATCATAAATAATAATAATCCTTGCATTTGATATAGCGTTTTTCATGCCTTCTAGACCTCTCAAAGCGCTTCACAGGATATACTGTACAGTGAATGGACTGTAAAGTGAATTGTAGCTGCCGATTGCGCACAGCAGTGTCCCACAAATAGTCGTGGATTGAAGTGAACAATTTATTATTTTTTTTTGTCTTGAGGGATGATCATCAGGTGTGTGGAGTAAGGAAACTTGCCCAAGGTTTCGCCCTGCTGGGAATCAAACCCAGGTCTCTCGCTTTAAAGGTGAGTGCTCTAACCGGAGCTACAGGACTCCACTGACATCATAGAGGTGGGGTGGGGCAAGGGTGGAGGCATTTGAAGGAAATGAAGGGGATCTTAAAAATGGATCCACTGGGGGATAGGGCGCCAGTGGGTGATGGGCACAAGGAGTCTAATGCAAGAAAGAATAAGGGCTATGGAGGTTTAGATGAAGCTTGTGGAGTGTTGAGCTGGGAGGGTTGGCTGGGGAGCAGAAAGCGAGCCTGGATGTGAAAAAGGCACAGGTGAGGGTTTTGTTGTATTTGGCTATTCTTCCTATCTAAGGGATTACTGAACAATTTATTGCAGTGTTACTATTTACAGCGGAGTCCTGTTATAACGACATGTATTTGTAACATAGTAACTGAGTTCCATAAAATTCCAACCATTGCTGCAGTGGGTTTTGAGCCCTGGTCCGCACTTCTACACAGTGTCTACAAAGTCCTGTTACCCGTAGGTTTTTTCCTACAGTGCACTGACCAACAATTGAAACATGTGGAAGAATGATGATCAGACTCCGCCTGTTAAGTGCTCTGAGACTTTACCCTGCATGGAGGGTGCTATATAAGTACAAGCTGTTGTTAATCATAGTATTTAGAAGTACTTAATTGTATGCATTACAAGTGTTTAACTGTATTTAGACGTCCAGAAAATCAGTGTGAGAGAGTGCCATCATTTGCATGGCAGATAATGATCCGTCGCCATGTTTGGTGCCACATCTTCTGTAACATGATGGAGTGATGAGGCTAACTGTATCTCTGACGGCTTGTTTTAGCTCCTCCATAGTCTCATACCACAGTTTTGTAACGGGGATAACAGGTCTTTGTGGACACTCTATATATTCACTGGGAATGCATGCAAAAAGACAAACAGCCAGGTGGTGTGCAAGAAGCCCAGATGGCCAGCTTTGAGCATAACGCTGCCTCTAATGTCACATCATGCGCGTCGCAATAGATAGTTTTTTGAAACACCAATGATTTTTGGAGTTTTTGGGGGTAAGTAAATGTCAGAATCCACAACCCAAACACGGTTTTACTTTTTGAGTTGACCCAAATTAAATAAAACACACACACTAACCCTTCTTCACATTCTTAATATTATAAATGCAACAACAACTTGCATGAATAAACACTCTTCTTGAGGGGTAGCGCCTCAAAGCGGATTATTTATTACACAACTTAGGCAGTTTACTCTCTGGAATTGAAGAACTCTAGATCATTCCTTCAATATAATTTGGAACTTTTTTTTCTTTAACTTTTGTAAAATAAAGTGATACTTACTTTGCCATCCAAAGTAGTCATCATTCAAAATGCAGTCTGCTTCTAGAACACAAGACAGAAGAATTGGGAGAAGCTGATAATTAGCGCAGTGAAGTAAAACAACAAATTACGCAACTCAAATTGAGTTGGCTACATTTTTCAACAGTGAAAAACAATTATTTAAAGTTTACATAATTATTCCCTAGTGACTGAGCATTACAAAATGTTTGCAAATATTAGTGAAAAAATATTTGCATCACAAGTGGAAAAAAAAAGCATTAGCAATCTTTAACCAGTGAAAGCATTTCCATTTCTTCAACCCATATAAAAAGTATCATGTATTTTCTCCCTATGCTTTACCTCCTAGCCAAGAGGATGGGGACAGCTGTCCTGCTAAAACCTGCTTCTTAATTGACCAAACAATGGTATTTGAGTGAACCAATAGGTTTAGTCACTATTCCTCAAATCACTATAAGGACATGTCTAGTTTCAAGGAAGCCATTATTCATTTGTTGCGAGAGAAATCTTCCGGAAAGTAGTACTCCAAAAGTATCACTGTCTTCAATTACATTGAAACATGTAACCGCCTATCTACAGGACAGCCCCATTATAATGTGCTTTGCAAGCGTGTTGGCCGACTTTCTTTTGCACTGAGCGCACGGGAAATGACATCAACTGCACCTCATGCACGCAGTAAGGGACATCACCACCGGCCACTTGATTTCAGGAAATTGCGTGAGTGAAACTTCCCACACACACAGCGCACAAGAAGGGAGGTCAGTAGTGGCCATTTTTCCTGCACCCATGAAGGGATGTCACAGAGGTTATTTTGACTTTGCATACCATTATAATTTGAGTTTATGGTTTCAAAACAGCACATTATAACAGGGTTTTTTCCTACACCTGGTCTGATGTGTAAACATCCTAGGAAAGTTCAAGCAAGATGGATCAATTTGGTTCAAATTTTAATTTTCAGTCTTTATATAAAACTCCTATCGTGACAGTGAGTTGGACATTCATTTCTTTCCAATTATATGAAAATGGCCCAGTAGAGGTGCCTGGTTTCTAGCTTCACTTCTGTTCACCTTTAGATTCAACCTATTATTGAAGGGATATGTTAAGAGTTCATGAGATTATGAATATTACAACAGCATAAGATACTCTTTAGAGTTACGTATCTTCTTAAGACTTGAACTTTCTCAATCTCATTGGTATTTTTAGCACAATTAGTCTCAAGATAAATTGGGGGAAACTAAACCTTGAATCTCATTATTAAAACTGAACCATGAATCTCATTATCAATGCCATTCATCACTATGGCAAACTTCAACACTTACTGTTTGGGTGGAAAGCCTTTCTGCCTCCACAGTTGTAAAATTAATTAACTGTATATTTTGTAGGAGAAACCCACCCTTCCTGCACTTCACCCTTCCTGATTTCAACTCCCAACTTGGATCCAAATGCTTGACTGTCCAGCACCCTAGGACATCCTCCCGATGTGAAAGACGCTGTGCAAATGTATTTTGTAGTTGAAGGATGGGAAGTTTTGAGTTCCTTATGGAATCTAGAATGACTCACTTGGTTACTCAGTGATAAAGTCTAGAGGCATCTCACGTAGTGACTTTTACTTCTTACTTTTTGGGGTAGGGTGCATTATCTAAACCTGACTGACCATATTTTTTTATTACGATGCCTGAAATTAAACCAATCTTAATAGGTTGAACAGTGCAGCTTATTAAAATAATAAGCTAAAGGCAACTCTCACCTCACTGTGGCTTTTTAAAAATAGTATCTAGAGTGGGAGATCTTTGGGTCTTCCTATCTCACATTCCTATGATATAGCAAACATGAGATGGCATCTCTCACATTGCCCCCTCCTAATACTCATGTCTTAACAATAATCCATAGTTCTGAAATTTCTTATGAGGTTATCCTTAAAGTTTAAAAATTAAGACAATGGTCTCAATTTTATGAGAAATTTAATCCTCTTCTCATAAGTGAATATACAAGTGATACAATAACTTGATCTGGAGCCTCCTCATGGCTTAACCTAACAAAAGCAAGAAACTCTTATACTTTACTGAATAGGCAAATCAGAGGTACTTCAATCAGGAAACATTTTTATGTGCAGTAAACCTTTCAATTATTTGATTAACCCTGGCAGAAATGTGATACAGTAAAACTCACATAAGTTGTATCAGTCGGGACCATAATATTTAATATGACTTACGTGAAGTCCGAGTTACAGGCAAACTGAATAAATCGTGTAACATCCGATTTAATCAATAATCTACGCTTTGCATGCTTAATTCAATGCAGCCGGTAAGAGCACGTGTGGTAGTTTGTCACTGCACACCGGGAAGTGCGGTGACGGGTCAAGACTACATTTCTGCGATTCAATGCATCTTCACCCGTCGTCGCTTGCACATTTACCGGCAACCATTGGAATTGCATTGAATCGTGGGAAATTAAGTTCTTCTGCATATGCGTCAACAGCTCAGGACGTCATTTCCTGCGATTCAATGCAGACGGCAAGTACAAGAGTAATAGAGGGTAGGGGAGTGGCGTTACGAGTTAGATGATAAAAACCACACATGCAAAAAAATGTAAGTGGTTTTAATAGGAAAATGAATGGGACTCAGGTGCATTTACGACTTAGGCAATTATATAATTTATACGAATAAGATTTATGCAAGTTTTACTGTATTCTGTTGTGTGACCTCAAAATATGCACAACAGTTATGTGCAAACAGCTTACAGAGGGTTTGATGGGCTGACATCCGAATCCTATAGATATGATTTCCAGAGGTGATAAAGTATTTAAAGGGCTGTGCGAAATAACACAAGGTAGGTTGGGTTTTTTTAAACATTACTTTGCAATGTAAAACATTTTGTCATGAATTACTTTGTAAAAATGGATATCTAGTCCAGGATGTTTCCTCATGACATGAAGATTTTATTTGATATATAAATCGGGTGTCTGCATAGATGGATACTTTTATAGTTTGCACTTTCCATTTCTAGATATTCTGAGTTACTTACCTGCTGCTTAGAATTTAATTCTTCTCAACTTTATAGCTCTTACCGTTTTCCTCTTCTGCGTTTGATAATGAAAACCTTAATAAAAACTTATTACATATTAGGTGCAAAATGGCACATTCAGTGCCCACCATAAATTGGACTTGAATGGCATTTTTAAAAAAAAGTTTATCTGAAAAAGGGAGCGATTGCAGAGCAAAACAGAATGAACCACCAAAGTGGTAGGATAAGGGTATATCTGGTGATCTTCTGGATGTTGCTTTTGCTAACTGAGCCACTCCAACTCTGGAGGTCACCACAGATGGAGAATCGTTCCTCTGGAGAGCTCTGTTCCAGGGCAGCACATGGGAGCCCATATGGAGGAACAGAACTTACAAGAAGGGGATTGTACCCTTTAAATGCACACAAAAATTCTAATCACATTACCAAATTTGGACTACAAACCAGATTTATGCATTTACACAAATGAAGCAGATTGTACCAAGAACAAATTTATTCTTCACAGGTAGAAATGAAAAACACCAAGGAAGAAAAGGCTAAGATCCAAGGACAAGTAGAAAGAGAGTAGCACCATAAATGCTAAACAACACTTTTTCTACTAGTGCAATAAATGAGTGGAGAAAGTCATACAATGAGTTACCTAACCTCAAAAGCTGTTTTTCAAAACCAATATTAATTGTAAAAAGGGATATATTTTGTACACCAGTTTAATTTACTGCCCAATTACTTAATGTGTTACATTTTTAAAAGAATTCATTTTGAAAGTTGCATTTTGATTTTTTAAAATTTATAAATATGTTAAGAATATTCAGCATCTTATTGATTCAGGCTTGAACCTTGATAATTAAAATATGGCAATGTGGAACTTACGTTACTCCTTAATTAAAAATGCTTATGGGCATACACTGGTGCAGCTCATTACTGTCAATACTTTGCACTACAGAGTGGTAGGAAGCATGACTGTATCCACAGTTCCTCACAAGGCTTGTTCCAGATCTTCAGCATGCTGTTAAGAGGCACACCAGCAGAACCCAAGGGATTATTGCTAAGGTGTGAATTAAAAAAACAAGCCAATCCACTACAGTACATCTCCTTCGTAGTGGAATTAGCAGAGATCTGGGAACATATTGCCATCATGCAAAGTAACTGAAAAGGAAAAATACCTTTTTTTTAAAAAAGTCAAAAATTATTTCTTGTGAAAGACTTTCAACCTTTTAAATAAAGGAGCATAATGCTGAATATGCCACAAACTGTGTTCTTGTTGCAACAGCAAACAAGTTCCTGCAACCCTTTACTGCAATGTTTAGAGGTGCTGATGATCATATTTTCAATCAAATGCGACAGATATTTAGTGCACCAAAATTCAAAAAAGTAATGCGGGGATTAAAAAAAACTTTAAACAATTGTCAGACGCTTAATTTTATCACATGTACCTCTGCTATGGTCAATTTGGCAGCTAACAGAAACTCTATACACTGTAGCGACATACCCGACGGATTAAATGATCGTGGATGAGGATGGGTCTCCCACGTGTTGACTAGTACTTGCCGAAGACCAGCAGGGTTCTGATTCAAGTGATAAAAAGATTAAAGTCCTTTATAATAATGCAAAAGGACCAGAAGAAAATGCAAGGTAAGAGGATAAGAGATACAGGTTTTAATTACTTCTGCAAGAATGCTTACCAATTTTCTATTCTGCACTTTTAACTTCAGGATTAAAATTATATCAATAAACAAACATGGTGGTTTGTAGATTAAATTACTGGCATTTTAGTCTGTAAACAAATTAGATTACAGACATTATAGTCTGTAAACAGATTAAATTACAGACATTTATAGTCCGTAAACTACAGCCTTTATTTGGAAACAACTTTGTTGCCTTGGGTACTAGAAGCAGACAATACTAAACCGATTCACCTTAGTGGCCGTGGTACCGAAGTGTGAGAAATTACATCACAGGAGGAAATACAAGTCTGAGCAACTTGTTTGACCAACTCATGCTGCTGTGGGGATACCACAACACAGGCCAGTTCACACATAAACAACTTCACCTCCAAAGAGAAAGGAGATCAGCAGAGTTGTTACCAGTCTGCCATCATTAATTTCTTTAGCTGACTGAATCTCTGGGCCTCAGGCAAGTTGGCCTGCTTGCACAAGGTGCATGACCCAGCAAGACCTGTATAGGGGGACGCGTGAAAAAATTCTCACAATTAATACCTCACACATCGTGTCACTTCACGCAAACCATGTGTCACACTCACACACACACAAGCGTGCATCAAACACATCGCAGGAGCCCTCCCAAAAACACATACATCATAGCATCACAAGATTCTCCCTCACGCACACGTCACATTACACCACCCTCCCTTCGCACACTGTCGCACACCCCCACGCACACGTCCCACACACCCACGTCCCACACCCCCACAAACACACGTCCCACACCCCCACACACACGTCACACCCCCCCACACACACGTCACACCTCCACATGTCATCGCACCGCATACACGTCACCCACCCCCACACACACGTCACCCCCCCCCACACACACGTCACACACCCCCCCAAACACACGTCACACACCCCCCCCAAACACACGTCACACCCCCACACGTCACCCAACCCCACACACACATCACACCTCCACGTCACCTCCCACACACGTCACACACCCCCACACACACATCACACCTCCATACGTCAACCCACCCCCCCCACATACATGTCACACCCCCCCACACACCGCACCTCCACACGCGTGTCACACCGCACCTCCCACACACACTGCCCTCACACATTTCACCCCCCACCCACAAACACCCCCCACCCACACCATACACTCCCCCACACACGCCACACCGTACTCCCATACGTCACACCGCACTGCCACACATATTTCACACACACCACACACATCACACCGCATACACACATTATATTCTTTCAATATTAACAAATAACTTACCATTATCTATGATGTCTTATCATTACACTATGAAAATCATAACAATTGTGGATTAAAATTGTAGGCAACATGCTGTGGTACCAAGATTGAAGAAAGTAGATTAATTCTTTACTAATCTTAAAACCGTACTTATATGAGGCATGTGGGGAGGAGGTGGCATGGAAGTTAGAACACCTTCTTTTCACCTCGGGCAAACAAATATGAACGCAGCACAGAGGCTGATATGGAGTCTCTTCTCTGCTTATGTGAAATACGGTTGAGTAATTTTAACCCAGTTCAAGATAGGAATTGGCCCCATAAAAGGACATTTTCCCAAATTGTAAACTAATTGGCAATTTCCTTGCAGAGCCACAAGGATCAGAAAAATGGAGGGGGGAGGGGCTGGCGGAAATTATACAAACTATTTTCTAAGATTGGGGTTAAGGAACAATGTTACATAAACTGATGCCCCACACCATGAAGAAACAACTACCCCCCTCCCCAATTTAAAATATTAAATAAGCCAGTAATATTTCTTTACATTACAGCTTTCAAGCAAAGCTTTTACAAACTTTTGAAATTCAAATTGTTAGTGTGGATTAAATAGGCAATCCAGTTTTATAGTATTAGTTTACAGACACAACGTGCTAAGACAAGGGGCAGTTTTGCATGTCTCCATTGTACATTCATTGTAAAACTGGGAACCAATTTTTAGTAAAGCTGCACTTCTTAATTATCTGTATTGAATAAATATTTCTAGAATACAAGAACATATTATAAGCATAGCTTTTGCAACAAACTCACATTCCAATGGTTATTGTTCATTAGATAAGCAATCTAGTTCAACAGTACCATATTAGTTTAGAGAGATCCTTTTTTAAAAGTCAAAATATTTAAAACACATCAATGTAATATTCATTTAAGCCCAATGATATTTTAGAATAGCAAATCAGGTGCTTTTTTTCATTAGTTCTGAAACATTTACTTAAACAGCAAGTGTTAATGTCAGTGGAGAGGTTATTGAGAGGGAGCTGGCTAATGACCTTCTCCAATGTTAATTCAATAGCTTCATAAATGCTGTTTTGGTAACGCTTCGAAATGGTGCCATTGACCACTTCAAAACAAAAAAATTAGAAGCTAAAAAAATTGCCTTAATTGTTTCAAACTGTAGTTTGATTCTTTGAAACAAAGCATAGACATGACATGCTCAATCTGTTGCCAAAACAATCTGCCAAACTAGTATGTATGGTTAATAAGTAAGATTACACATCAGATAATTCTCTACATAGATGAAACGAGCAATAATTTCTCTCAGTATGAACATCTCCTACTGGGAGAGATTATTGGCTGGAGGAGCACGAATGCTTGAGGCAACTCACTGAAAAAAATGGAGCTTCCAATTTCGGACAGGATCCAGCCAATCCATAAAATTCAATATTTTATGATTATGATTTCATTGCTTTAGAAATTAGAGAGGCAGATATAATTGGTTGAACAATGGTTTCCACATAAAGGGGTGGGGGGAGTACAAATGTATAGCAAATAATGTAGGCCAGTTCTCATCCACTTCCTAGCGTATACTTACACAGCATTGTGGATCAAATTCTAGGAACAATTAAATCTACTCAATAACAGGAATTCTCAATGTAACAATATTTTTTGTTGAGAATTAGTTTATTTTTCAATTTAGCACTATCTAGTAAATACTTCTTACCTTGGGTTCCAAGGGAGAACACTTAAAATAGCGATATTGGAAAAGTATATCTCTATGTAGATGGACCGTTGACCTCCACACCATACTGCAGAGTGAATGTAAAGTGAAAGTGTTCTATTAATAATGTTCTATATCATTTTGAGATGATTAAAAAAAAACTAGTTTAGAAATTTTAAGGTATACCGAATATTTCAATTTTGGCCACAAAGTATTCAAACAGTAGAGATTATGGATTAAAAATTGCTAATGTGTGCTGCAATGCTGGAGATTATCCTTAACCATTACCCTTGGCATACCATCTGACATTATATCAGTCAGCATCAGAAAAGTGCAGCGATTATGTCAAAACCTGCAAATGATTTTAAAAAGTGTTGTACAATTCTCAATGGTGCTTAAGGCAATCGGAATTATATCAGAATTATAAACACGCAACAGGAGAGGGCAAGCAGCGGTCATCCGAGATCTGAGCCAGGGACCCGAGGCATACAGTTGTTCTGTTCATAAGGCTAAAAATAAACATGTTCATCTGACACTGGTTTTTAACACTATGAAACTAAAAAGCAGTATTCCCAGGGAAGGGTTGAGACCAAAGATATCACGCAGAGAAAGGGATTTCCAGCACTGAATTTACAAGGCTCTAATTGTCCAAATTCATGGATTTTGAACCTGCTCCATTAGAAAAAGGCTTGTTTGAGAGCAGAGATGTGTCACTGAAGATCCATTGAGAGACTGTGTCAATACTGGCTGCATGTCTCAACGACATGATAACGTGCCATATCAATGGCAAGGATTATTATTTTAGTGTTCCCAATTTACAGTCTAGCCCAACACTCCAGTAAAATGTTGAGGGTGCGCTGCATTGTCAGAGGTGCCATCCTTTGGATGTTAAACTGAGATCTCATCTGCCTGTTCAGGTGGACATAAAAGATCCTGTTACACTATTGGAAAAGAGAAGGGAGTTTTTTCCCCAGTGTCCGGACTGACTATCCTCCAAATAAAATTGGACACTCACTTCATGGCTGTTTATGGGACTTTACTGTGTGCAAATTGGCTGCACGATTCATCTACAAATATACAGTCATCACAGTGAATACTGTAAAGTACTTTGGGGCTAAGGTGTGTGATAAAGCATGTGACAAGCGCAAGGAGTACAATATTATTAAATAGTGGGTACATCAGGTGTTGGGATCTCTCTGATTCTCAAATGATCTGTACTTGGCAAGACTGAAGAATACCCAGAGTGTTGAAATTCTCAATAGGGTGAAGGAACAGAGGGATTTAGGTGCAAAAATATATAAATCATTGAGGGTGGGAAATGGGCAATCAGGACTCTGGGAATGTACAATATACAGAGCCACTAAATTCAAAAGGAAGTGGTGATGAATGAAAATAGATGTAGCTTAGGCTGAAGATGGAGCCACACTATCCAATGGATATTAAAACTATGGAGAAGGATAGTATTTAAGTGCTCTGAGACCCTGCCCCATGCAAACTATATTCATGCAAGTTGTTCTTCATGCAAAATGCCCACAACAGTGTTGTCAATCCACATAATAAAGTTGAACATAATAATACTTCCATTTGACATAGTACCTTGTTGTTGAGACGTCTCAAAGAGCTTCACAGAATATATTGTAAAATGAATTGACAGTGTATTTTGTGGGCGAAACACGGCAGCCAATTGCGCACAGCAGTGGCCCACAAGCAGTCATGGATCGAGTGACCAAATTATTTATTTTTGAAAGGATTATTACCCCCGGAAGCGATCCGCCAATCAACAACTTACCCATCGTTGGCATCTGGTTCCAGAAGCACAGCTTTCTGAGGATACCAGTGACCTAAAGCAGCACAGTTTCCACATACTGCAAAAACCTCACCTGGGGAGCAAAGAAAACACCTTTTATTCATTTCAGAAACATGTTTTTTGGTTTTGCAAGAATTTTTGTCAGTCTTGTTAGCTGACTGCTGCCAGTGCATTTTAGTGCCCAAATTAAATTCAGTAGTTTGCTATTGATCGAGAATATGAAACTGTTCTCAAATGTTCACAGTATGGTTGATTTCTAGTTGAACACTTTGTTTCAATGTCATTGTAAACAATACCCTATAGCTGAGGCTCCAGAGACTACAGAATTCTCTGGAAACCTTGTTCTTTTATTTGCCATTTTTTGTTTTAAACCAAACACTGTATAGTCATCAAAACAACCAACAGAAGTATGAGATTTAATGATTACAATAAAATGGCAAACACAATGTCATAATTCACATAAAGCAAACTTACAAACAGATTTGACAACATCCGTAAATAATTAACTCCCAGTTCAGAAACACAGTTAGTCTTACTGGTTGCCAAATTGCAGTTTGCCAACTTACAGCCCACTGTAAGAAAACATTTACAGCTTTCACTGCAGTACAAATTTGTTTGTAATACAGTTGCACTATGGACCCTATTCATTTCGTAATCGTTCAGTTTATTATGTTATCTAACATGCAAAACTAGAAGTGTTGCAAGCAGCAACAGTTTGACCTGGAAGTTGGGACATTTTAGCTTCTGTGCTAAAAATATTCTGACTTCCCATGTTCCCAAAACCTAGCAACTTAGATTTAAATCTTAGATCAATTTAGATCTTGGGAAATTGGGAAGCCAGCATTTTTAGCACAGAAGCGAAAATGTCCGACTTCTAGTTCATTTTAGTTTTGTGCATCAACAAATCAGGAAGTGACAAAACTGAAAAAACAACCCATCAAACTACATCGTATGACAAACAAAACTAAACATAGCAATCTAGCGATATCCACCCCTTGAAAGTCTTATTTTGTAATCAACTTGGTCTATTTAGCAAGTAGCTCAAGTTTCATTTCATGGCATGAAGTTTCCAAACATCACGTTCCAGCTGACAGCTGTTCTAAAGCCGCTCTAATATTATTCAGTAGACTGCCACCAAGAGACCATCTCTGGTCTCGTTTGCTCGTGCGCATGTATGAGAGCTGGGTGGGGAGAAACCATGTTCGGTTAAATGCCCTCTACAGTCACACAGCCTGCCAATACCCACTACCAAGAGTCACACAAATAATAATAATAATCCTTACATTGCATTTTGCCTCATCAGGTCGTCAAGACTTCTCAAAAGCGCTTCACAAGATATACTGTAAAGTACAGTGACTGTGTATTTGGTGGGCGAAACATAAGGCAGCCAATTGTGCATAGCAATGCCCCACAAACAGTCATGAAGTGAGTGACCAATTTTATCTGGGGGATTGTTGGCTAGGATAAAAAAGAAACTCTTTTCTCTTTTCGAATAGAAAACACTGGCCATTTGGATGGGATACATTTACAAAGGCTACAAGGAAGATTTAAAAGGCTTATAGGGAGGAAGGAGAGGGTGAACATCGGATCAAGCAAAGGATTGTAAAGAGGCAGCTTTCCCCTAAAGTTTAAGATTATGTTCCCTATATTTGGAGGCTAAAACTGCTTAGATTAGGTCACATAAAAGATTGTGAAAATATGGAATAACCTGGCACAGAATCATTTGGGATGTTTAAAAGGGAAAGCAATATATATTTGGGAAGAATGTTCTGAAAAGTTACTATGAAATTGTGTTAGGGAAGTAAAAACATAGAAGATGCATGAGATATAACTTACCAAGAGGTTGGGAAAACTACCTAAATCACAAAACAGACAAAACTTAAATAGACCATAAAATAAATACCTAAATATATTTAATACCTGGGAGGGCCACTCCTTTAACTTTGAAGGTGATCTGTGAAAGGAGCATTTTTGACGATGGTGAAGCACTATCAAACAGCTGATGTTACCTAAAGTAAAAACACAAGTCAAGTCATCATTCACAATAGTATTGTTATTTCACATGCAAAAGTCTCTTCATATTGATTAATAAATCATTCATAAATACTGGTTAATAAAAACATCCTTTAGAAAAACTCTCTGCTTCAGTCTCCCTTTATTTGTTTCTGCCGCATGCTATGTCTTCTTTTTGCTGCTCGTTTGATTGCTCTCAATCTGTCAAAATGTGAGTTTCTCTATTTGTGAATAACCTTTTTCGCATTTTTTTGCAACATCCTAATGGTTTTTGCTATTCCTTTCCCTCACCATCACAAAATTTTGAACCAGAGTTAATGGAATCCTCCCAATCTTTCAGTCCTTCCAACTTATACTGTCGTTAACAGTAGATCCTGGTCCTCAGGGGCTTTGGCAAACACAAACAGACTGTGAAGCTCACTCTGCCTCCAGGGTGCTCTTTGCCAAAGAGGATCTGAATTAAGCAGCTCTGCAACATCAAGGTTGCTACCACGTCACAACAAGTACTGTAAAGGTCCTCCCACTACACTGAGACAGATGTTCATCAGATAGCTGATGAGAAAACCCTGAGGCTGCTGGAAGACGTTACCTGGAGTCCAAGTTTGTGAACACACATTCATATATCCTAGACTTGGAATCCACCTTGATTGGTTATGCAGAGGTAAGCAGCTGCTGCTCAAGCACCACACTTCCAACGGGTGGAACCATCGGATGTGTGTCCGAGCTGTGGGCAGGAAGATGGTGGCATTTCATGCTGAGCTGTGCTGCTCACCAGGAATCTTGCAGGGAGTTCCTGATATCCGCCATATGCGGTCTGAGGGTTCAAACCATTACACTCCTCTCATCTCTTCCCACTTCACATCTCTCTCTCTCTCTCTCTTCCTTCCCTCCTCGAATCCAATTTTGCCAACGACCATCACTTCATCTCCATAAACAATTGTTCTTCCCGCACCCACCGGTCACCTATGGCGTACCCCAAGACTCCATCCTTGGCCCCCCTTCTTTTTTTTATTTACATGCACCCTCTTGGCGATGTCATCCACAGGCACGGGGTAAACTTCCACTTGTATGCAGATGACACGCAAATCTACTTCTCCTCCAGCTGTTTCCCCCAGTCTGCTGACATTCCGTCATCTTGTTTATCAGACATCAAGGCCAGGATGGGTGTAAATTTCCTGCAGCTGAACGTCGACAACAAAGAACCCATACTCTTTGGCTCCCGTCAACACCTTCCCTCCTGTGGCTCTGACCTCCTTATCCTCCCTGGCCTTTCCCCAAGACTTACCGAACCTGTACGCAACCTAGACGTCAGGTTCCACCCCCAGCTTTCCTTCCTGCTTCGTATTTGGTCACTAAACAGCACGGCTTTCCTCCATCTCTGTCACTTTAGCCGCCTCCCACCGAACCACACACCCAACGTAGCTAAAACCCTCCACGCTTTCAATACCTCCCGCCTCGGCTAGTCAAACTCCCTCGTCACTGGTCTCCACTATACCGATCACACTCCTTCCCCACTGCCCTCCACCCTCCCCAATCTCAACCCCCAACTCGGGTCTGAAACACTGACTGTTCAGCGCCTTAGGACGTCCTCCCAACATGAAAGGCGCTATACAAATGTAATTTTGTTCTTGTTGTATCCACAAAACCCAACTGCTCCAAAACTCCACTGTCCAGGTTAAACCCCATCCCCCCATCATATCAGTCCTCACAGGCTCCACAGACTCCCCATTACAGAACGGAACAACTTCAAGATACTCACACTCGTCTATAAATCTCTTCATGCCCTGGCCCCTCCCAACTTTCTGCACTGCTTATGCCCCACTCCACCACCCGCCGCCTCTGCTTGGCTGGCTCTGGCCTCCTGCTTGTTCCTCATCTCCTCCATTCCACCATCGCCGACCTTGCTATCGGCCACTACACCCCGAAATTCTGGAACTCTCCCGTTAACCCCTCCGCTCTGCCCTCTCCTTCCCCATTTTCAGATCAATGACAAGCTATGTGGTTTTAGCTGGTTAGACTTCAGTGGGTACCCCAACAAACTCTGGGATCCCCAAGCCTTGGCTCCCGTCATCCTATGCCTAATACTTTCCATAATTAGATAAGCAAAATGCCGTCCCTCCAGGAACAAACAAACAAAAATTACATTTGTATAGCGCCTTTCACGTTGAGAGGACGTCCCAAGACGTTGGAAAGGAAGAGAGTGTGCATTCCATTCCAGCAATCGATCTCTGGAATTTCCATATGTAAGTGGGATGACTGGAATTCTCAGTTTGGTTTGGATACTCTTAACCATGGTGGTGGCTTTCTGCATGTATCAGACATTTGGCTGACCAAAAAAAAGGCCCCCTATTTCTCCCTCCGCTCTCTGTCTCTCCTCCCTCCCTCTCTCTTGCTCGTCTTCTTCTCTCCCCTCCGCCTCTCCCTCTCTTTGTTCTATTTGTTTATCTTGTTGTTTATCTCTTGTAAAACGTACCCTAAACTTGCATGTTAACCGCAGCCCCTCCTGTTCAACCTTTATTCACAAAATATTTCCATTAGTGCTCCTCAGGGGGAATGTCTCAGCAAGAAATACCTGTCGGAAGTCATTATCTACAACAACAACGTGCATTTAATAGCGCCCTTCAGATGGGGTAGCATCCAGAGTGCTTGTATCTAGTTCCTCAGCTAAACACCTGCCAAAAGCCCTTGTGTATATACACACACATCACCACCACCACCACCATTACATTTGTACAGCGCCTTTCACATCGGGAGGACAGAGTTTCGGACCCGAGCTGGGGGTCGGGGTGGTTGGAGGGAATGGAGATCAAAAGTACAGTCAAAGAGGAAGGTCTTGAGTTGGGTCTTGAAGGAAGCAAGGGAGGGGGAAGGCAGAGTGGGTCATGGCACAGATGTGGGGTAGAAAGGACAGCTGAAGGTCAAACAAGACCCCAAGGTTGCGGACTGGCTTAGCAATGGTGGAGAGTGCAGCCATGGATGGTGGTACCGTCAGCACCTGAGGTGAGGAGGCGCTGACGGGAGCCAATTAGGAGAGCCTCAGTCTTATTGACATTCAACTGATGTGATGTCCGATAGACATTCTGTCAGGACAGCAGTGGTCCTGGAGTCAAGGATGGAGGCAGAAAGGTGGAGTTTGGCGTTACCCACATACATGTGGAAGTTCAGCCCATGTCTGCAGATGATGTCACCAAGAGGGAGCATATAGATATTGATGAGGAGGGGACCAAGGGGAGAGACCTGAGCAACGTTGCACGAGATGGTGCGGGGCTAGAGGAGAAGCCGTTTGTGGAGGTGAAGTAGTGGCGGTGTGAGAGGTACGAACCAGTCAAGGACAGAGCCATGAAGGTGAGGAGAGGCTATGGATGAGGATAGAGTGGTCAATGGTGTCGAAGGAAGCAGAGAGGTCAAAGAAAGTGAGGAGGCAGAGGGAGCCCTGGTTGCAGATGAACAGAACGTCATTTGTTACTTTGACCAGGGCTGTTTGACTTTGACCACACCTTTGCCCCTGGAGCAGGAGCTACGAGGTAACAACAAGATTATATTTGCATAGCGCCTTTCACGTCGGGAGGACATCCCAAGGCGCTGGACAGAGAACAGAATTTCAGACCCGAGCTGGGGTCGGGTGGGGGGGGGTGAAATGGGAGGGAGGGGAAGGGGGGGGGTGGCCGATGGCACGGTCGAAGAGGAAGGTCTTGAGGCGGGACTTGAAGGAGACTAACGCGGGGGCGAGGCGGTGTGACTGGGGGGGATGGCATTCCAGCGATCGGGGGCAGAGTGGCCCGAAAGGCTCTCCGGTCCAACGGTGGGTCGGGGAGCGTGGAGCCGGGCGGCTGAGAGGCCGAGGCAAGACGGAAAGGCGATGGGAAGGCGGCGCCGATAACGGCGCGTCGTCCCCCCCCATTGCAAAATCTGGCAAAAAAAAAAAGGGGGGGGTAGCGCAAAAAACGTGCCAAACCGGTCAAAACCGGCGGCGACCTCAGGTTACATCACCACTTTTCTGCCTCTCTCCCTCCCCCTCTTTCCCTTCCATCTTTCTCTCATTTTCCTCCCTCCCCCGTCTTTCTTTCTCTCTCTCTCCCCCTTTCCCTGTCTCCTCTCGCACCTTCTACCCCTTCTTTCGCTCCTTCTCCCCCTCTCTCTCTCCCCCTTTCCCTGTCTCCTCTCGCACCTTCTACCCCTTCTTTCGCTCCTTCTCCCCCTCTCTCTCTCCCCCTTTCCCTGTCTCCTCTCGCACCTTCTACCCCTTCTTTCGCTCCTTCTCCCCCCTCTTTCTCCCCCTCTCTCTCTCCCCCTTTCCCTGTCTCCTCTCGCACCTTCTACCCCTTCTTTCGCTCCTTCTCCCCCTCTCTTTCTCTCTCTCTCTCTCTCGCGCCGTACGAGGCGAGAGTCGGAAACGGCCATTGTCATCCGCCTCAAACCGGTTCCTCCTCAGAGGAAGAATTAAAAACATCACATCACCCCCCAAACCCCTCTCCCCCGTTACTCACATTCAGCGATGGAGGAGGGGAGGGGAGGGAGGGAGTGAGGGAGGGAGTGAGGGGGGGGGGGGGAGAGCTCACCTTTGGGCGGTCATGGAACCTCTCAGTGTGCGGAGTCTCCTGAGGGCGAGAGAGTGTTGCGGAGGGTGAGAGCAACGCACAGCGATGGTGGGGGGAGAGGGGAGAGGGAGTAAGGGCTGCGCATGCGCTCACTCTCACCCTCGCGCTCTGGCTGAGTCAACGGCTAATCAAGCCCCGCCCCCGGGCTCTGTACCCGGAGCCGCACACACAGCGGCAGAGTGAGGGCAGACACGGGGCGAGGGACAGGAGGGACAGGGTGAGGGCAGGCACGGGGCGAGGGACAGGAGGGACAGGGTGAGGACAGGGCGAGGGACAGGAGGGACAGAGTGAGGGACAGGAGGGACAGGGTGAGGGACAGGGCGAGGGACAGGAGGGACAGGGTGAGGGACAGGAGGGACAGGGTGAGGGACAGGAGGGACAGGGCGAGGGACAGGAGGGACAGAGTGAGGGACAGGAGGGACAGAGTGAGGGACAGGAGGGACAGGGTGAGGGACAGGGCGAGGGACAGGAGGGACAGGGTGAGGGCAGGCACGGGGCGAGGGACAGGAGGGACAGGAGGGACAGAGTGAGGGACAGAAGGGACAGGGTGAGGGACAGGAGGGACAGAGTGAGGGACAGGAGGGACAGGGTGAGGGACAGGGCGAGGGACAGGAGGGACAGCGAAGGAGAGGAGAGGGACAGGGTGACGAGAGGGACAGGGTGAGGAGAGGGATAGGGTGAGGTCAGGGATGGTGAGGGACAGAGTGAGGGACAGGGTGAGGAGAAGGACAGAGTGAGGTCAGGCACAGGGTGAGGAGAGGGACAGGGTGACGAGAGGGACAGGATTAGGTCAGGGATAGGGTGAGGGACAGAGTGAGGGACGGTGAGGAGAGGAGAGGGACAGGGTGACGAGAGAGACAGGGTGAGGTCAGGGTGAGGCGCACGCATTACAATACAACATTACATTTGTAAAGCGCCTTTCACGTCGGGAGGACATCCCAAGGCGTTGAACAGTCAAGGATTTGGACCTGAGCTGGGAGTCGGGATTGGGGAGGGGAGGGTAGGAGGGCGGCCAACGGCTCAGTGGAAAAGGAGGGTTTTGAGAAGCTTCCTCAACAACAACAAAATGACATTCATAGAGCGCGTTTCACGTCAGTAAAGGCGTTGGACAGTCAGGGGTCAGGACCCAAGCATGGGAGAGGGGTGGGGTAGTGTTGAGGGAAGGCAGAGAGGTGGGAGGGCGACCAAAGGCACGATCGAAGAGGAGGGTGTTGAGGCAAGGGAGGAAGTGAGGCGAAGGGACTGTGGGATGGAGTTCCAGAGTGTGGGGGCAGAGAGGCTGTGAAAGTCCGGCCACCGATGGTAGGGCGAGTCGGGCGGGAGACATGGAGCAGGCCGGAGCCCGCTCCAGAGGGAGTGGGCAGATTGGTAGGGAGTCAGCAGGTCAGAGAGGTAGGAGGGGGTAAGGCCATGGATGGCCTTGAAAGTGAGGACGAGGATCTTGAATTTGATCCTCTGAGGGTTGGGGAGGCAGTGGAGTCGGGTGAGTGTGGGAGTGATGGGGTCACGGAGCCTGGTGTGCGGGAGTACACGAGCTGCAGAGTTTTGGGAAGAGTTGAAGGAGGCAAAGGAGGGAGTGAAGTGAAGGGAATGTGGGTTGGAGTCCCATAGAGTGGGGGGCAGAAAGGCTGAAGGCCCGGCCGCCGGTGTTGGAAAAGGCCAGAGCCTGCTGAGCGGAGGGAGCGGATAGCTTAATATGGGGTCAGCAGGTCGCAGCAGTTGGGAGGGACAAGGCTGTGGAGATCCTCGAAGATCCTCTACCCTCTGGGGAATGGGGAGCCAATGGAGCCGGGTGGGGATGATGGGGCCATGGTGCCTGGTGTGGAGAGGACACGACACGGCCTGCAGAGTTCTGGACCTGCAGTTTGTGAAGGAAAGAGTTGGAAAGGCCAACAAGCAGGGAGTTGGCGTAGTGACACACAGTGAGAGAGAGAGAGGGTACGCACACGCACACTATTACAAGAGAGAGGATACACAAATGTATCCTGTATACGGAGAGTGCACACAGAGTGAGGGTACACCCGCACACTATACAGAAAGGGTACACACACACTATACAGAGAGAGAAAGGGTACACAAACCATATACAGAGAGGGTAGACACTGCATAAAGAAAAGGTGGGGGAGGGATTTACATACATACTGTATACAGACTGTACAGTACACGCTATACAGATAGAGGGTACAACAACAACAACTTGGATTTATATAGCGTCCTCCATGCCAGACGGCGTCTCAGAGCACTTCATACACAGAATACATACACAAGCTTCAGAGAGAGTATGGTTGGATATTTAGTTGAGAAATTAGATAATGACTTCTGACAGTTACTCGCTGAGGCATTCGCCCTGCGGCACACTAACAGATATTTTGAGGAATAAACAACAACAACAAGATTACATTTGTATAGTACCTTTCACATCATGAGGAGGTCCCAAGGCGCTGGACAGAGTACAGCATTTCAGACCTGAGCTAGGCTCAGGGTGGGAGAAGGGAAGGGAGGGGAAGGGGGGTGGCCGATGGCAAGGTTGAAGAGGAGGCTCTTGAGGTGGGACTTGAAGGAAGCTAAGGAGAGGCGAGGCGGAGTGACTGGGGGATGGAATTCCAGAGGTTGGGAACAGAGTGGCTGAAGGCTCTCCCACCAATGGTGGGGCAGGTGGATCGGGGGACATGGAGCAGGCCGGAGCCGGCTGAGCGGAGGGAACGGGCGGGTTGGTAGGGGGTTAGGAGGTCACAGAGGTAGGGTGGAGTGAGGCCATGGACGGCTTTGTATGTGAGGACCAGGATCTTGAACTGGATCCTCTGAAGGATAGGGAGCTAATGGAGTCGGGTGAGAGTGGGGGAGAAGGTCACAGAGTTTGGTGCGGGAGAGGACACAGACTGCAGAGTTCTGGATTATCTGCAGCCTGTGGAGGGAGGAGTTGGGAAGGTGTTTGCATAGTCGAGGCTGGAGGTGATGAAGGCGTGAACAAGAGTTTCAGCGGCCTGAGGGCTGAGGTAGTGGCGGAATTGGGCGATGTTATGGAGGTGAGGGAAGGCAGAGCGGGTCATGGCTTGAATGTGGGGGGAAAAGACAGTTGAGGGTCGAACAAGACACCTAGGTTCCTGACTGGTTTGGTGAGTTGAAGTGTGCAACCATGGAGGTTGATGCTGCCAGAGCCTGAGGTGCTGAGGCGCTGGCGCGAGCCAATCAGGAGGGCCTCAGTCTTGTTCACATTCAACTGTAGGATATTTGCCTCATCCAGGACTTGATGTCCGACAGGCAGTCTGTCAGGACAGCAGTGATCCTGGAGTTGAGGGTGGAGGCAGAAAGATAGAGTTCGGTGTCATCTGTATACATGTGGAAGTTGACCCCATGTCTGCGGATGATGTCACCAAGGGGGAGCATATAGATATTAAAGAGGAGAGGGCCAAGGACAGAGCCCTGGGGGACACCAGACGAGACAGTGCGGGGGCTGGAGGAGAAACGGTTAGAAACAACAAAGTAGAGATGGTGAGAGAGATAGGAATCGAACCAGGCAAGGGCAGGTCCGTGAAGATTGAGTAAAGCGGAGAGGCGGTGTATGAGGATGGAGTGATCGACAGTGTCGAAGGTGGCAGAGAGGCCGAGGAGGACAAGGAGACAGAGGGAGACCTGATCACAGATGTTCAGAATGTCATTAGTGACTTTGACCGGGGCTGTTTCTGTGCTGTGGGCAGCGCGGAAGCTGGAGTGGAGGGGTTCAAAGAGGGAATGGCGAGGAAAAAAAGGAGCGGACTGGGACGCAACAATTCGTTCCAGGACCTTGGAGAGGAATGGGAGGTTAGAGATGGGGCAGTAGCTGGAGAGGAGGGATGGATCCAGGGAAGGTTTTTTCAAGATGGGGGTGATGACGGCTGTTTTTAGGGGGGTGGGAGCTGAACTGGTGGACAAGGAGAGGTTGATGACGTCGGACAGGAGAGGGGCCAGAAGGTGGAATTGGGAGATGAGGAGAGAGGTGGGGATGGGATCAAGGGAGCAAGTAGTGGATTTGAGTTTGTGGACGGTCTTGGTGAGGGAGGAGGGAGAGATAGGGTCGAAGGAGTATAAGGCGGGATGGGTGGGGGGTGGGTCAAGAGGGAGAGGTGATGTGGGGGTGGCTGTGGACAGGGCTGAGGTGGCTGAACATATCCCCTAGATTTTGGATTTGAGGAAGTCCAGCATCTCCTCACAGTTGGAGTTTGAGGAGAGGATGGGCGAGGTATGGGAAAGTGGATGGAGGAGACGGTTTGTGGTGGGAAAAGAGAAGCCTGGGGTTGTCCTTTGCCTCCGAGATAACCTTGGAGTAGAAGGAGGATTTGGTGGAGGCAAGAGTGCAGTGGTAGGTCTTGGTGTGGTGAAGCCAAATCTGACGATGGACCGTTAGTTTGGATTTGGTCCAGGCGTGTTCGGCAGCTTGCACTTGTGCCTTGAGGGAACGGAGATGGCTGGTGTACCAGAGGGATTTACCGGAGTATGAGGCAGTTCAGGAGGTGAGGGTGGCAAGGGAGTCCAGAATGGAGGAGAGGGAGTTGTGGAGAAAGGAGAGTGAGGAGGGGAGATCGGTCAGTGAGGGCCAGAGGTGTAGGAGTTCAGATGACTCCAGGGTAGTGGAGAGGGAGAGGGAGGAAATAAAGATTGAACAGGAAGGGTTGTGGCTGACATGCAAGTTTAAGATACACTGATAAGAGAAGAACAACAACTGCATTTATATAGCAACCTTCATGTGGCGTGTCTTCCTGGAGCGCTTAACAATAAAATAAACAGATGGAACAAAGGACAGAAGTCATGATTAGAATGACGCATGTGCAGTCTCAAGAATAAGGAACAAGTTAGGGATAAAGGTTAGAGTAGGATAGAGGAGAGGGTCACTTGGGTAGATACTGAGCTGAGGCACATGTTGGGAACTGCTGACTACTAGAGACGTCAGTGCTTCCTGTGTGGGCTCCGTTTGTTGAGGTTCAGTACTTAAAGTATAAGATTGTTGTGTTAAACAAAATGCAAAATACTGCAGATACTGGAAATCTGAAACAAAAACAAAAGTCGCTAGGAACACTCAGCAGGTCAGGCAGCAT